GCATTATTAATTAAATCTACATGTCCCCCCCAACCTTTCTTCTTTACTTTGGTGGAGGTGGGGGGATACTGCCAGCCCTGGTGGTCCGATGGTGATCTATAGCCTGCAGCTCCTCTGGCTGCAGGCTATCTTCAGATCCCTCCCCTTGCTTCCAGCTCCTCCTGCCGTCTCTCCCATCTAACAAGGGTCCTTGGGCTGGTAAGGGAGATCTTTGATCTCCCCACCGGCCCGAGAGGGCCCACGGCAAAAAAGCAGGGCCGACCCTCCTGTCGGCCTAGGCACATGGGCAGTGCAGTGGGGGCCCCTTGCCTGTGGAAAGATGGCTTAATACATGCACACCTGAGGAAAGACGGCCCTGGTGATGCATAGCTCCAAAGTGTCCCTGTTTAAGATGTACAGTCCCTAATATGTACCCCTCACACACACAGTTCACTCCTCACACACATAACATGCCTTATACACACTCTGTCCTCTGGTAGCCCACTTATTGAGACACCCACAACCAGTGGCGTACACACAACCCATGGGGCCCCGCCCCGCCCTCGCGCTTACTCTGTGCGGGCTGGGGCCGCAACACATGGCGGCGGGCAGCTGGTCGCAGGGCTGCGACCCCTGCGACCGCGGTATGTACACCAGTGCATGCAGATACACATACACTACAGACATCCAGACAGGGCCGTCTTTAATACTATTTGGACCCTGGGCAAACATTGGTTTAGGCCCCCTGGACCCTGTCGTTCCCTCCCTGGCATGCAATCAGGCCCCTACCCCAACGCAGAGGCGGACGTAAAGTAGCAAGGGCTCTGGTGCATTAATTATTTTCCGTAAGAGGGGGCAAAAGGTAGATCCCCATCTCTCGTGTAACTCCAACAATGCTTTGACAGCTGGGGCTCTACCATTTTCCCATGCATGCAGGATTGTATTTAGCACTGAGCGGTATTTGTGTGTTTGAGTGTAAGCATGTTTTTGTATGGAGTATGTTTGTGTGAATGTCGGGGTGTGTTTGTATGTGGAGATGGCATTTGAATGCAAGCATGCATTTATGTGTAGTGTTGGTTTATGAATGCAATGGTGTGTTTATATATAATTTTGTTGTTTAAAAAAAGAGGTGTGTTTATATGTAGTGTTGAAGTTTGAATGCAGGTGTGTATTTGTGTGTAGTGTTGGCGTTGAATGCTAAGATGTATGCACATATACACCTGCACTGCCACAAACACACACACACACACACACTGTGATACACATACACACACACACAGAGAAACACTTGCAGATACACAGATATTATCAATTGTACAGATGCAGCCATACAGACACATTTACACACACTGACACACACACATACAGACACACAACCTGACACACATGCAGACACACAGATGCACACACATGCAGATACACTGACAATATACAGATACACAGACACACACAATGACAACATACAGACACACAGATACATAACCTGACAAATGCAGATACAAACACTGACACACATGCAGATACACACATTGGCTACATACAGATACGTGCACAGGTATACACACTGGCATATACACAGATACATACATATTGACAACATACAGATACACACACTGCCACACACACACAAACTGCCACACACACTGAAAACATACAGATACACACACTGACATGCACACACAAACAGATATACTGACACACACAGACACACTGTGACAGACATACTGACACAGGCATACATACTGACACACACACAGACATACATACTGGCACACAGACATACTGACACACACACATACATACTGACACACACACACACACAGACATACTGACACACACATAGAGACACACACACAGACAAACATACTGACACACACACAGACATACTGACACACACACAGACTGTCTTCAGTTTCCTACCTTTGCAAGAGGCTTCCTTCCCTGGGGTCCCGTGTGCTGGCTGAGGCGGGTGGGAGTTGGGGGTCTGGCTCTCCTTGCTCCCCCTCCTCACAGGATCCTGGCTCAGCCTCCCGCGAGGCCCGATGTCTTTGAGGTGGGAGGAAGTGATTCACGGACGTCACTTCCTCCCATGCAGCCGTTAAGCAAGGGGCCTTGTCGCGCTGTTAAAGGGCCACAGCGCAGACCGGACCCCCTTACACTGTGGGCCCACTAGGGAAATAATTTTTTTTTCATGTGGAAGGCGGGGCCATGGGGCAGCTGCTTTGGGCCCCCCAGGAGTAACTGGGCCCGGGGCAGCTGCCCCATTTGCCCCGTGTTAAAGACGGCCATGCATCCAGATCATCAAGGACCACTACAGACATCCAGATCACAACAGCTCAATGAAGTGGTCTGGGTGCCGGATCCCTCTAGTTTAAACCCTGTAGCTGAAAACATAGCAGTTTCAGAGAAACTGCTATGTTTCACTGAGGGTTAATCCAGCCTCTAGTGGCTGTCTCATTGAGTGCTTTAGCTGTTTTGTTTTGTTAGACACCTGTGAAGCGAGATAAAATGGTTTATTGACTAAATGGTGAATTGTGGCGATCATAAAAATGAATTTTAAAATACAGACTAAAATACCCAATCTGTAGGTAAAATTGTGTTGGAAAATTTATCCAAATTAGTTGTTTTAGCCCATTTTTTTGGTTTTCATTTCATTACAATTCAATGTTTATTGAATACACTCCAAAGTGAAATGTTTGCATCATTAGCCAATTATGTTAGACTTTTCATAAAGCTTAATGATTAAAACTCCCATTTATAGCTGCCAGGGGGCAGTGGGCACAGTGCAGAGCACCAACAGGGGCAGAATTGAGTAGAATTCACATCAACAATGAACACTGAAAATCTCAGGAACAGCTGAAAAAATGATCTGCAAACACAGTCTATCTATCTATCTATCTACATACACATTTATAATATGTAGACAGAAGAATATAACGTAAACAGAATGTTTCTGTACGAGCATAGTGCCCTGCTCACTTGTTAAATCTCGCTATGATTGCCTCACATAACACAGTTTGCTGAACCTTTCGCCAAGACTGAATAGACTGCTAGGCTGCAGACTGCGCTAATGAAATATCCCTTTATTGTCAGAGGTTTCTAAAGGCAGGTGCAGAAAACAGACCAAATAACTGAGAATGTTACACATGTACCACAATTTATACATATGGAATAAACTAGCTGATAAAAGATCATTAATTAAAAGTAAGAAGAATTCAGTGTTTTGATGTTAGAGCAAGTGAGTTTTAATAATTTAGCACTTTTTAAATATTTATAATAAGCTCACATCAGGGCACTGGCTCTGTGCTTCTCTATAGAGATTCGCAAAGAGCAATTTTATGATCATTTTCAGATTCCAACCAAAATCTACACTGCTCACAGTCTGGCACTGAGAGAACAGAATGATATTCTTTAAGAGAATTTAGGGGAATATATTTACTAAACCGTGAGTTTTGACACTTCGGTGATTGATTTTAATTGAAGCCAAGAAAACAGAGTTACTGACTTGTTCCAAATCTCGTATTTTACCCGTTCACTCATTGTTTGGGGAATAGGCCCCTTGGTGCCTTCTTTATTTGAAAAACAAAATGCAAATACTTGATTTGATACTTGGTTTTTAAACGAGGTTTGTAACTAATTGTAAGACTTCACGTACAGAATCTGCAGTTACAATCATATTATATCGCATGACATTATTCATTTATGAATTATTTTTTTTTACTGTAAGAATAGATAAACAGGCCCAACGTGGCCAGATACTGGTCGGACATAGAGAAGCTGATGATGACGATACTAGCACGACCAATACACAAAGACCCTTAGACTTACCTGCTAGCTAAACCACAAGATGACTTGACGGCAAGAGAACAGAAACTAGTTAATAAAATTACCTTAGCGGCCAGAAGGGCGCTGACCCAACAATGGCTCAGCCCGGACGCCCCCTCTATACACAGAGTAATCCATAAAATAAAAGACAACTGCCTAATGGACAAATTGACAGCGCGGATTCGGAATACCATGGGCATCTTCTCAAAAGTGTGGCAACCATGGGAGGACTATGTGGACAGAATGGCGCAGACGCCATGAGACACACCAGCAGAGCTGGGTGACACATTGCCTCGCGTGTGCGGTGGGCGCATCCGGTATGGCCCCGACCCCACCCCCTTCCCCACCTCAAGTCCCCCCCTCTCCCATTTACCTTACAAACAAGTTCAGTATGGAGCTATAATTTCAACAGCAGATAGGAAGACACACTCTCTGAATAGCAGGCATCTCATGGGCAAGGGCAGTCCCCGCCAATACGGGAATAGCAAGGCCCCACAGCAGTAGAAAAACGCATATATACCGTATATAACGAGGTATAGGCTCGTCTGAGAAGGCCCTTTAACAGACCCGCGCAGACAACGTATGGTTAACATATATATTGATGTGTAATCAACTGTGGTATAGACCCAGACATACCGGGTCATCCTGAAAATGTGCAAAATCAGAGGAGTGTAGTGCTTGCTAATTGTAGTGCTTGATAATTCCATATGATGCGATATGTTACCGAAAGGATATCTGGGTATTTCGATACCATGGTATTGTAAAGATGACACGATACATGTATGATATGTGATGCTCCATGCCTGAATTCAAAAATAAAGAATTTAAAAAAAAGAATAGATAAACAGGGTTTTTCACTGAGAATTGCCATGAATTCAAAGTGGATTTTATATTTAAAGGGACACTATAGTCACCAGAACATCTACAGTTTATTGTTGTTCTGGTGAGTAGAATCATTCACTTCAGGCTTTTTGCTGTAAACACGGTCTTTTCAGAGAAAATGCAGTGTTTACATTACAGCCCAGTGATAACTTCACTGGCCACTCCTCAGATAGCTGTTAGAGATCCTTCCTGTCTCAGTCTTGCCTAGTGTGCAGCACAACATTCAGTGTCTCCACCCTCTGGATGCAGACACTGAATGTTCCTCATACAGATTCATTAATTCAATTTATCTCTATGTGAAGATGCTGATTGGTCAGGGCTGTGTTTGACTTGTGCTGGCTCTGCTCCCGATCTGCCTACTTGAAAGTCTCAGCCAATCCTATGGGAAAGCATTGTGATTGGCTCAGAACAACACTCTTGATGATGTCAGCAGACAGCTTGCAGGTCTGACACAGACAGGGGAAGAGCCAGCAGCTTCAGGCTTGAATACAAGTACGATTTTACTATATTTAGGGAGGCAAGAAAGGGCCAGATGGCGGTTTTAACACTATAGGGTCAGAAATATATGTTTTAGTTCCTGACCCTATAGTGTTCCTTTAAGGCCAAAATAGCCAAATTGCAAACAGTATTGTGTGGGAGAATGTTTCTCATTGAAAGAATGAGAGTGCTGTTAAATTGAGGCGTTAGTGCTCCTTTAATAGTCCCCGGCACGGAGATGACAAGCTGGCCATGTGTCAGGGGATCCTGAAACAGAAGTAGCGATATGATGCAGTCTGTTTGTGTTATTAATGTTATGGAAGAAGGCGGCGGGATCTTCCATCTTGTTCTCAGAGGAGAGTTTTCGTTCGGTTTTCGTTAACCTACGGTGATACATGTCCTGAGCCTGTAACCGCTGGATCTCAAAGCAACACTAACAACTTCTGAAACTACTCAACCAAAACTCGGGCGAATGGAGAATCAATGACTTGGGCTTCAGATCAAATTCCACCTGAGAGACAAACACTGATGAATAAACAGACTAAACACTGAATAAACACGCACTTTAAACATTATCGTATTTATTAATAGAGATACACACAGAACAATGAGGCCAAGCTGGCTCCATAGATACATTGCAGGTTTCATTATTTTATATTTATTCACCATTATAAAGAGTAATTTTAAATACATATCAGGATGGAATCTTATTTTGATCTGCAAGTAATTGAAGCTATGGATATTTCCAGCATAGGGGGATATGGATAGATAGACAGACAGACAGACAGACAGGCAGACGAAGAGATAGACAGACAGACAGACAAGCGATGGAGGAACAGATGAACAGAGCGATGGATTGATGTGTTTCTTTGTTTGTTTTCAGTGGTTTCCACGGTAATTGACCAACTTCTTAGACCAGAACAGTTTGATAATTATACCCCATTGTTTTATTTCTCTGTTCTTGCCTCTCTATGCAGCCTGCCAGGTGCAAGGGACACAGCTTATAACAATAATACAGAGAGTGAAGATGGAGGCACCCCGCTGCTAGATTTCATTTTATTTTTCATATCTCACAAACACATATTTGTTAAACAAAAGTAGAATAACCAAACTAATAATCCTGGGAAGTGGCTGTTTTTCCTTTAACCCCTTAAGGACACATGACATGTGTGACATGTCATGATTCCCTTTTATTCCAGACGTTTGGTCTTAAGGGGTTAAATGCAGAGTGTTGTATGTGAAATTTACCACTGGCGCACTGTCTATGAGCCACTTCTCTAAATCTTTACTGATCTTACAGGAAATGGAACATCTCTGTCACGCTGTATGTAAAAGTCGCAGTCCCTGCAGTGCCTCAGTCAGGGTTATTCGCTAAACTCTTAAAATATTAGCAAATTAAATCCTAATTGGTAATGGTGAGGCTAAAATAGCCTACATGAGCCATAGTCACACATGAATTATTTTAGCCTCAATTTTGCCATTCACACTAAATGTGTGTGACTTTGACTCCCTGCTGCACTGATGTCCCTAAAACGCCACCCGAAATCTTCCATTTTTCAAAACCCATAGTGTTACAATGCCCTCGGGGGCCATCAGAAAGCAGCAGGCACAAAAAGACTTATGTTCAGCGTCTTGTCATGCTGTTGGCATTACATAGGCCATCCTGCTAGTAGATTGCTAAGGGCCAAGTGATCATAAAAAGCCAAGTTAGGGACAAACGTCTCTGGAGGAGGAAGGGGGCAAGATGCCAGCGAGCAGTAAAAACAGCAGGTTCTGGGTTTGAATCCTACAAGGCCCTAACAATAGCACATGGCTTATGGCCAAGTCCCCACGCTCCACCCAGCCAGTGACAGACTTGTCCCAGACTTCATGTTAACCCTTAACGGTTCTCAGTGCAGTTAATCAAGCCTGCTACTAATTCGTTATCCTGCTTCCGCTTTTTACTGAACAAAAGCCAATGAGATTAACACATAAAAGCAAATTATACAAATTTAGTGTGCCATTTAGTAAAACAGCTATTGTATTAAATAATTTTTTTTTTTTTAATTATGTTTTATTTATGATGACAGATGCCAGGCGCTATACCTCCTAGCTTCCATAACTATAGTCTCAGGGCAATTTAATTTAACCCTTACATAAGAAAAGATGCCATGGTCTTACCCCTTTATGTAATAAACATTTGATGTACAGGATCTACCGATTCATGTGCCCTTTCCTTGCTCAAACACATTTCCTGCCCAGCTAATTATTAAACAAATTGTCCCTATTCTAGCTCATTTAACCCCTTGAATGCCTGAGACACAAAGAAAGAATTTACTTAGTCTTCTAGAAATTCTAGAGATCCCTGATCCAGCATTATTTATCTATTTAAGTCTCCAAGATACATTCCAGATAATTTAATTATTGTGTTTTTCTTACACGCTAATTGATATTAATTAGTTAATTATAGTGATATTAACCCCCAGCATGCTGGAAGGATATCTAATCAATGCAATCACACATAGAATCTGTTGTCATTTGGAATATGATGTTGATTAGAGTTTTTAATATTATTATTATTATTATACATTGAACGATGTATATTATATATTTCTGTTACAGTATCTCAGAGTGGCGAGTTTGATTTTCACAGTCAACTCAACCCCTGATTTTATTTATTTATTACTGCCATTTATAAAGCGCCAACATAGTCCACAGCGCTGAACAATTGTGAAAAAAACAATACAATATACACAGACAGATACAAATAGTAGAAGGCCCTGCCCGTGAGCTTACAATCTAAAGATTCATCATTCCATGTTCAATAAAACAAGCTCAGCTAAGTTGGAAAATAACCTAGAATCCAGGACACACTTTTATTATAGTGAAAATCTAAATGTACCCTTTTCTGGCTAAACCCTATCATATTATCATACGTATGATTTTAGCTAACATTAGGAACCTTTTCTAGAGTGCATTTTTTCTGCCAGCAGCCCAGCTTTCAGACTGTTTCCAGGTCAGCGGAGAAAATCCACACCTGAGGATAGCCCTACTGCCCGTCTTGTCCTCGCTGCATCCTAAACCCTGGCCTTGTCAGGCCAAGGCAGCTGGTATACCACCACCCCCTCCCAGACCCTCAGCACAAGGAGTCTCTCTAAGGAGGGGCTCCCTCTGGAATACATATCTGACAGCTTTTAGAAACACTTAGCCATCAACACGACCTAACACAATGCACAGGGCCCTTCATAATTCACCATTAGTGAATGCAACTGTGCACAATGCTAAATGTCTTGCTATTCCCTAACACTTATTGTGCCGATTACGCCCTCAAACATCCGTGCCTTCATTACTTTCACCTTAGAGGTTACTGGACTGTTTTTCTATCTGCTGCAAATTAATCCCATACCTCCCAAGTGTCCCTATTTAGGAAGGACAGTCCCTATATTGTACCCAAATCCATCTGTCTCTCTTTTCTATAGTAATGTCCTCTTTTTATATACTAATGTCCCTTTTTTCTAGGAGCTCCATAATGTTGGTGTGTCTGAGTGTATAACAGAGCTCCACGGCACTAATACTCCCAGTAATGGGTATTTAAAGTACAATAAATGTGTTAAGAAATCCATCTGTGTAAGTAAGATATATTGTTCTTATTGTAAATTACATTTTGGTCCGAATAACCATAAATCCCCTAATATTTCTCAGAACAGCCCCGCCCCTAGCCACACCAACATCCCTAAAATTAAAGTGTCCCTCTTTATCCATTTGAAATGTTGGGATGTATGTATTCCCTAGCCATATGGCCTCCTGCTATCCTGTAGTGCCCCGTCCTGCCTACATATTTTAAGTAAGGCCTTTGTCTGCCTTTTTATCCGAAATGTAAATTAAATGAACCATGTAGCTCTGTATTGTCCAGTAATGGCTAACCCGTGGCACTCCATGTATTGTGCACTACATTTCCCATGAGCCCCAGGCTGGCTGAGGCTAATGGGTAATATAGTTCACAGAAATTTGGAGTCCCAACACACAGTCATCAATGCAATAGACTAGCATATTCAGGCTAGCAGAATCGGTGACTTTTGGCTGAAAGAGTGTGATGAGGGCTGAAATGCACAGCTGCTGGAGTGACAGGCAGTGTATGTGTGTGAGACATATGCACATACATAGAAAGGGGCGTGGTTTTACTGTGATGGAATTGGAGGAGGGACCATAGCCAAAGATGCTGCTGGAAGCAGTTACCATGGCGACCAGATAGAGAAGGGATGTGAGAAAGGGAGAGAAAGGGAGAAAAAAATAAAGACAGAAAAAGCAGAAGGAAAAATAAGGACACGGAATAACAATAAAGGAAGAGAACGAAGAGGAATGTCCGAATCCGGTGCGGGGGGCAGCTCTGTGTACGATACCAGCTCGCTGCTGCAGTATTGTAATGGTGAGTGCTGCGTATCTATCTATTCTGGGTCTCTACACATTTTATTCTTTCCAAAGGGCATCTATGAAATCTCTAGGGTTTGTTGGGGAGGCGGAAAATGAGAAACAGCCTGGCTGACTTTTAGGGGACAGCAGAGCCTGGTACCTAGACTATCTGATTGTAAGGGACGCCAAGCCCAGCGCACAGTAAAGGGCATCTAAGCCTGCAGAACAAGTGATTTTGACATCTGTAATAGCTTATTGGATTGAATGCTGGATTACAACTCCTATTGTTAAAGGTGGAGGGTGGCATAAAAAATGCGCCCTGTAGTATAAAGTCTAAAACCTCTGGGACTGTACGGTGAATGAAGAGAGCATGGTACAGGTCCCGGGTAAAGGGGGAGGGGTGATAGCATTCTGTGGTGGGGGGGGCACAACATGACACCTCTAGGATAGGGGAGAGAAATGAGCCTAGTACCGATCTACACAACTCTCAAACACTAATTAGTAATTAACTCAATGAAAACACATTCATCTATTAATTAGGAAATAGCACATTGTCTGTTCATGCTTGGCAATCACCGAAGATAGCCTAGGGGCATCTCTAACCGCTGGGTTACTCTCTTTGCAGATGATGGCCTCTCGGGTCCCAGTGCGATGGACACAGACGATCGAATCTCTAACCTGGAACAACGTCTCCAGCTCCAAGAGGACGAAATGCAGGTTCTGCGAGCGGCGCTCAGCGATGCCCTGAGACGGCTGAAGGTGTGCGAGGAGAGAGGAGATCCCCTACGGGGGAGACAGGGTGAGGCACTGCTGGGTGCCAGAGCAGAAAACGGTCATTTTGTGCGGCTGTGCTCTGCAGGGGTAAAACAAGTGAGGAAGGTCTGGCACAGGATGCTATATGATTTGTCACTGTGTGGACACCATGTAGGGCAAATAAGGTGAGGGGATGCCTGGTGCAGGAAGAGGAAGGGGTATGTCTATGTGATTGTGAGGTGCTGGGAGATGCTAAGTGGGGCGAACAGGGTTAGTGGTTTGTGAATAAGGGAGGAAAGGCATTTTTTTGTCATTGTGCAATGATGGGATAAGGGGTAGTTGCTGTGTTGTGTTGGTAATTGATTTCTGGGGAGAGTAGGGAGGTGGTTTAGGAATGAATGCTCCCTGAGCGCGGGGTATGAGATACAAAAGACACTCGGTGTGGGAAGTCAATGAGATGCCACGCTGAGAGCAAAGGGTTAATTGCTAAACAAGGGAAGCAACGAGAGGGAGCCGAGTGGCAAAACACAGATAACATACAGCATGAGAAACATGATTTACACACGCAAGTTGTCTAGGGGTGAATAACCAACCACCAACCTGCCAAAATGTGTAATAGTTTGTTTTGTGTTATTAAATTACCCCCTTGATAACATTGTAAAGCGCTGCGGAATAAGTTGGCGCTATATAAATGCCTTTAGTAATAATAATAATAATAGATTAACTGGTATTACAGTCTCTCTAAACCAGGAGACAGGCTTTGCATCATGGGAGATGTAGCACACAGCAGATAGATGTTACATGCCCCAGATTAACCCATGTTGCTGGCTTTATTCACACCACACAACATTTCAAATGGGCAAATAGGGACACTTTTATAGGATTGTGACTGTGGGTGTGGCCAAGGGAGGGGCTGTTCTGAGACATTTTAGGTGACTTGTTGATGGCAAATTATATAACTAAAGTGTATTTTAGAACAAGAAAAATCAATCGTATTCACACGGACTGATTTCTAAACATAACTATTTTAGGAATCATTATTATTATTATTATAGGCATTAGCGCCAACCGATTCCACAGCTCTTTAGATTATTATTAATGGGAATTTAAAGGACCACTATTGTGCCAGGAAAACATACTCGTTTTCCTGGCACTATAGTGCCCTAAGGGTGCCCCCACCCTTAGGGCCCCCCTCCCGCCTGGCTCTGGAGAGGGGAAAAGGGGTAAAACTTACCTTTTTCCAGCGCTGGGCGGGGAGCTCTTCTCCTCCGATCCTCCTCCGTTCCTCCCCGTCGGCCGAAAGCGCACGCGTGGCAAGAGCTGCGCGCGCATTCAGCCAGTCGCATAGGAAAGCATTATTAATGCTTTCCTATGGAGGCTTGCGTGTTCTCACTGTGATTTTCACAGTGAGAATAACGCAAGCGCCTCTAGCGGCTGTCAATGAGACAGCCACTAGAGGATTTGGGGGAAGGCTTAACCCATTCATAAACATAGCAGTTTCTCTGAAACTGCTATGTTTATAAAAAAAAATGGGTTGACCCTACCTGGACCTGGCACCCAGACCACTTCATTAAGCTGAAGTGGTCTGGGTGCCTAGAGTGGTCCTTTAATAACGAATGAGAAAAACTATTTCAAATTTGGACATAAACTATAGGTTAATGAGGACCATGCTCAAACAAGCTTACATAACTATTGTATTGTTTTTAAAGGGATACTGTAGGCACCCACACCACTTCAGCTAATTGAAGTGGTCTGGGTGCAGTGTCCCTATTGCACTTAGTGCTGCAACGTAAAACATTGCAGTTCCAGAGAAACTCTAATGTTACCATTGCAGCACTAAGTCTGCCCTCTGTGGCTGCTTACCAGACAGCCACTAGTGGGCTTCCGGAATCCAAACGGACCTTTGGTCCGTTATCTGACGCTGGACATCCTCACGCTCTGCATGAGGACCTCCAGCGTCAGATTTTACCCATAGGAAAGCATTGAATAATCCTAATTTCGAGTGTGAGCATTGACGCGCATGACAATTAGGTCTCCCCCGGCAACATCAGAGGAGGTGACTTGTTGATGGCAAATTATACAACTAAAGTGTAGTTTAGAACGAGAACAATCAATCGTATTCACACGGACTGATTTCTAAACATAACTATTTTAGGAATCATTATTATTATTATTATTGGCATTAGCGCCAACCGATTCCACAGCTCTTTATATTATTATTAATGAGAATTTAATAACGAATGAGACAAAATATTTCAAATTTGGACATAAACAATAGGTTAATGAGGACCATGCTCAAACAAGCTTACATAACTATTGTATTGTATTTAAAGGGATACTGTAGGCACCCAGACCACTTCAGATAATTGAAGTGGTCTGGGTGCAGTGTCCCTATTGCACTTAGTGCTGCAACGTAAAACATTGCAGTTCCAGAGAAACTCTGTTTACATTGCAGCACTAAGTCTGCCCTCTGTGGCTGTCTACCAGACAGCCACTAGAGGGCTTCAGGAATCCAAACGGACCTTTGGTCTGTTATCCTACGCTGGACGTCCTCACGCTCTGCATGAGGACCTCCAGCGTCAGACTTTCCCCATAGGAAAGCATTAAATAATCCTAATTTTGAGCGTGAGCATTGACGCGCATGACAATTAGGTCTCCCCTGGCAACGTCAGAGGAGCACGGGCGGAACCTGACCCAGCGCCGAGGGACATTTGCGCTGGATTTAGGTAAGTTGCTAAAGGGGCTTTAACCCCTTCAGCGCCGAGGGAGGGGGACTCCTTAGAAACCTATAGTGCCAGGAAACCGGCTTTGTTTTCCTGGCACTATAGGATCCCTTTAAAGGACCACTATAGTGCCAGGAAAACATACTCGTTTTCCTGGCACTATAGTGCCCTGAGGGTGCCCCCACCCTCAGGGACCCCCTCCCGCCCGGCTCTGGGGAGAGGAAAAGGGTAAAAACTTACCTTTTTCCAGCGCTGGGCGGAGAGCTCTCCTCCTTCTCTCCTCCTCCGATCCTCCCCGCCGGCTGAATGCGCACGCGCGGCAAGAGCTGCGCGCGCATTCAGCCGGTCTCATAGGAAAGCATTCATAATGCTTTCCTATGGACGCTGGCGTGCTCTCACTGAAAATCACAGTGAGAAGCACGCAAGCGCCTCTAGCGGCTGTCAATGAGACAGCCGCTAGAGGAAATAGGGGAAGGCTTAACCCATTCATAAACATAGCAGTTTCTCTGAAACTGCTATGTTTATAAAAAAAATGGGTTAACCCTAGAAGGACCTGGCACCCAGACCACTTCATTAAGCTGAAGTAGTCTGGGTGCCTAGAGTGGTCCTTTAATTATTCTATTGGAGCTCTGTTATACACTCAGCCACACGAACAATATGAAATTCCTCGAAAGAAGGACATTAGGATAGAAAAGAAGGACAGAGGGATTTGGACTCATAAAAGGGACACTTTGGAAGTATCAGTACCTCCTTCCATTTTGTTAAAATTAAATTAAGACAAGTATTACTCTGCCCTAATATTTGCAATTTTTCAGAATATCCATTTTGGTGAGCAACCCTGTAAATTGTAAAAATAATTCAATGTGGCTAAGTTCTAGGCTATATCTAGGCTATTGTAGCCTAATTTAAGAAAGGCAATTATCAGTAAATAATCTGGGTTTATAAAAAGCGTACGACAGTTAACTGAACACAAAATTGCAAAATTCAGGCAAAAATAGCCACACTCTGACTACAGAAGAGTTGCAGTATTGTTCTAAATCAGATATTTTGGCTAACGTTTTGCAATTAGGTTTCCAATTAACTACTATTCAGTGTTTTTTGTAAAACCATACAGTTTCTGAGTTTTTCATGTGTATATTCCAGGCCCCCATGTGGTGAAGCCCCCTCCTCGCTCTGCACAGAATGGTGTAGCCCTACGCCGAAGAAGTGGTCTTTCTACCTCCCCATCATCCCCCAAAAAGGGGGGTGCCCCAATCTTCACAAAGAGGTATTCTGCCTTTCTCTCTCTCTATTTAACCCCTTCTCTCTCACTCACACATTGGGGGAGATTTCCCAAAATATTCTGTCCAGCTACTAAAAAGTGCAGCAATTATTGTGGAAACCAGTGAAAATAGTGGGTATATAAATTTGGTGACACCTCTCCTTTTTAATTTTTTTTTTCACCACTTTTTGAAAGAGGACACCATAATAAATCTCCCCCTTTGTTTCTTTATAGTCTCAGACGCGCCCTCTCACCTGAGAGACTGTCCGTCCTGAAGCGAGATGGATCAGATGCCAGGAACCGATTGCTGGCATCTAGTGGTATAAGAAGAGACGGGTAAGTCTGAGACAGATAATTATACCCTGATTGGTATAAAAATATCAGCACTTATTGGAAACCTGTGATTATGTGCCACTTGTTTGTGTTTACCCTTTGGAAACCTGTGCTCATGTGCCACTTTGTGCCAATCTTTGTGTACTTAGCAACATCTGCCATAATGTGCTACCAGAGTGTGTGATCTGGAACCGTGAGATAATACGCTGCTAGATTATCAGGGTTTTTACTAAAATAAGAATTGTCTGGAATTCAAAGTGAGTTTCAAATTTAAGGCCGAAATAGCCAAACTGGAAAAATTACCCCAAGTCAATTATGTTTCCAATTCAGCTACTTTGGCCTTAAAATTTGAAATTCACTTGGAAAGTCCAGCCAATCCTCACTGGTGTAAATACCCTGTGTGTGATTGTGCATTCTCCCTATAGAGCCTTGATCATCCGACACTACATTTGCTATTTTTTTTTATTTTTTTTTTGTGCGATCATCTGTAACCTGTAATAATATCACAGACACTGAAATGCCCCAAATTCTTATTATTATTGGCAATTATATATTATAAAGGGGGAAATTTAACAATAAATGAGACAATTACAAAAGGTTACAGGAACAATAGGTCGATGAGGACACTGCTCAAACAAGAGAAATGGTGACCAATTCCTGCTATTGTGAAATTAGTGCGTGTCAGCAGAGGATGGGACCCTAATGTAATGCACAGACAAAGGGCAGATTGAGACCTTACTGTGATGGAAATGGTAACATATAGAGACAGAGCGATATCAGGGCCGTCTTTAACGCGGGGCAAACGGGGCAGCTGCCCCGGGCCCTGTCCCTGCTGGGGGGCCCGAGGTAACTACCCTGTTTGCCCTCTGCCCGCAAACTATGGGGGCCCATCGGGTGGCCCATGCACTTAGGGCCACCCGGTGGGCCTGTGTCAGCAGGGGCCCGGTCGGGCGCTGTGGCGCTTTAACAGCGCGACCGGGCCCTTGCTTTTCGGCAGCACTGGGAGGAAGTGACAGCCGTGCGTCACTTCCTCCCACAGAAACAGGAGCCGCGCGGGAGGAAGGCGGACCAGCTGTTCCGGAGGGGGCCAGGCCGGGAGCTTAACTCCCAGCCACCCCAGCCAGCCCACTGGACCCCAGGGAAGCCACCCTCCAGGAAAAGGTAAGAAACTGGAGGGTGGTTATCAAAGTCTGTCAGTGTATCTGTATGTGTGTGTGTGTCTGTCAGTGTCTGTGTGGTTCAGTATGTCTGTATGTGTGTATGTCTGTCAGTGTGTCAGTATGTCTGTGTGTGAGTCTGTCAGTGTCTGTGGTTCAGTGTGTATGTGTGTTTCAGTATGGCTGTCTGTGTATGTCAAAATGTCTGGATGTGTGGTTGTCTGTCAGTGTCTGTGTGTATGTGTGTTTCAGCATGTCTGTCTGTCTTTATGTGTGAATGTGTGTTTCAGCATGTCTGTCTGTATGTGTGTATGTGTGATTCAGCATGTCTGTCTGTCTGTCTGTGTGCCAGTATGTCTGTCAGTGTGTCATTATGTCTGTGTCTGTGAGTCTGTCAGTATCTGTGTGTTTCAGTATGGCTGTCTGTATGTGTGTATGTGTGTTTCAGCATGTCTGTCTGTATGTGTGTATGTGTGTTTCAGCATGTCTGTCTGTGTGCCACTATGTCTGTCAGTGTGTCAGTATGTCTGTGTCTGTGAGTCTGTCAGTGTCTGTGTGTTTCAGTATGGCTGTCTGTGAGTTTCAAAATGTCTGTATGTGTGTATATCTGTCAGTGTCTGTGTCTGTGTGTTTCAGTCTGTCTGTGTGTGTGTGCCAGAATGTGTGTATGTCTGTCAGTATGTCTATGTGTGAGTCTGTCAGTGTGGTTCTGTATGTCTGTGTTTGTCAATATGTCTGTCAATGTCTGTGTGTATGTGTGTTTCAGTATGTCCGTCTGTCTGTGTTTATATGTGCCAGTATGTCTGTCAGTGTATCTGTATGTCTGTGTGTGTGAGAGTCCATCAGTGTCTGTGTGGTTCAGTATGTCTTTGTGTATGTGTGTTTCAGTATGGTTTTCTGTGTGTGAGTCTGTGTCAGTACGTCTGTCAGAATGTGTCTCTGTATCTGTATGTTGTCCATTTGTATTTGTGTGTGTATCTGTATGTGTCAGTGTTTGTATCTGTATATCTGCATGTGTGTCAGGTTGTGTATCTGTGTGTCTGTCTGTCAGTGTGTGTGTCGGTGTATCTATAAGTAGTCAGTGTGTGTACCTTTGTATCTGCATGTATGTCAGTGTTTGTATCTGTGTGTGTGTCTATGTGTGTGTCAGTGTATCTATATGTAGTCTGTGTGTATCTGTGTGTTCTTGTGTGTATCTATCTATATGTGGTCAGTGTGTATCTGCATGTGTGTCAGGTAGTGTATTTGTGTGTATCTAGACGTAGTCAGGGGGCCCAAGTAAATGCTCGCCCAGGGTCCAATCTAAATTAAAGACGGCCCTGAGCGATATACATGGAGGGACAGCTGAATACACAGACCTGTGTTTGGCTGTGAAAAGGAGGGAGCTCTATACACTGTGGTCACATCTCCTATTATAAGCAAACAATCTAGAACATACATGAACACACACACCCTCTACCGCAGGTGATTTAATTAAAGGGACAGTATTGGAAAATAGGACCTCCTATTCTAAAGCAGCCCTGTCACGCTGTTCCCTTTTTTTGTTTTCCTTTCCTTATGATCCTTGTATTTTAATGATTATATCCCCCCTGCCTTTATTAATATTTATTATCATTAAATCCCTAGACCAGCCATTTTGTTCCCCACTGTCCATGATGTCTGCTGTTGTCTCTTCTCTGACCAGCTGTGTGAGGCATTCACATGCTGCAAGGTTCCTTCATAATTAATGGCTTATTTTCCCTCCTGCAGCATTTGATTACTACATACTACAGGATAACACGTTATTACATGCTACCCGTCAACATGTATGAGTTATACGTGTTCAGCAAAATGTTATTATTTAAACAAGCATTTACTTTTTTGCATTTAAACCAAAACAATTACACAAATAAAATCCTAATATAAACTAGGGCAGAGATCTCAGTTTGAGTATTAATTTTACCACACAGACCTGCCATTTAAACCACTCAGTAATCCTCTGGGGCCTAGTATATATTGGTAGGTACAGGAGCAACCCCCTGCCTGATACCAGCAGTGTAACACAGACAGTATACAGTTATAATTCTGAGCTCCTGTAATCTCCCCTCCCTGTCACAGATGGGATGGGTGTAACTCTTTTGACAATTTCTGATGAAGGGGGGGAGTGTCTGTTTGCACTAGGAAGTGATGTCTGCTTGCTGAAACAGGGACACACAGAACCAGGCAGGATGAAGAAAGCATCCAGGTAATTTTTACTGGGTGTTTACTAAGACCCCAGGCACCTCACTACTCCCATCACCCTCAGGCTGTTAAGTTACAGTAGTCAGCTGAATGATTGGTGTCTGTACTGCTGCAGTAAACTGTGTAGATACTTGTTTGTTTATTTTTCTGAATGTAATGTGATTGTCAGTAATATTATTTCTGTTTTTTTTTGCAGTAAAAGCAAACAGGTGGTATTCTATCCAGGTGAGTCCCCAGACTGTGTGTGTGTGTGTGTGTGTGTGTGTGTACATTTTATTTGTTGATACAATGTCACATTTAAGGCCCAAATAGTTGGATTGAAGTTGTGTGTGGTGTTTTTTTTAATTTGGGTGCTTAGACCTTTTGGCTGTAAATTCACTTTGGAGTCCTGACACTTCACTTCATAGTTTCCTGAATAACAGAGTTTGTCTATAATATGGAGTACGTTTTATATCGCAATGTATCTGTGGTTAGGATGATTAGTGTGTCCCTCCAAGTCTTATCTCCTTACCCCACCCTGATCTATACTGCAGCTCTGACAGACTGGTCTTATTCCAAAACCACTTACACAGCATCACACGCTTTTACTATCATTTTATATAAATCGCAAGATTCCCACAGATTTGTTCTGTATTTTTATTTTTTCTCTTTGTTTATCCATCATTTGATCAGATTAGTTTGTTATAATTCCTTCCAGGACGGGCACAGCACCAGATATAAAGCAGTCATGGTCCGTCTATATATTTCGAAGTTTTCTGAATAGCTGTCTTTTTTGGGGGGGGGTGGGGGGGAAATATACAGGATTAAGTGCACAGCGGACTTGTGAAAATTATTTTCTGTTTTGATCTGACATTTCAAATCATTTAATTCCCTTGCTACATTCATTATTTAACACCGACAGTTGTGCTAGTTGCACTGGCTGCTCTTTGTGTAATGATCCCTTGGACAGGTAGGATTTGGCCAAATAAACTTGAGCAATGTATAATTTGATGCTGTACTCTACCAGGCTGCCATATCGTGTTTCTAAGCACCATCACAACATTGTATGACTGCATAGAGTACCTCGCACCCACTACCAGCTCTGTAAAAAATCCCCTGCAGCTCTAAGCTGTTTCTACAGAGCTAAAAAGAAGAGTTCAGCGCTGTTTATTGGTATATTAAATCCTCTTTATTGTTGTAAGACAATGGTAGCTTATTTCCCTGGTTATGAGGTTGGTCTGTAGCTGCAGACAGCCTCACTAAACTGTTCATCAGCTGGTCTTTTCAATAACTTATTATTATTATTATTATATATTTTTTTAATTTAAATCCTAATTTTGGTTTGAGATTTTATTTTTTTTTTGTCTTAAATACAGTAATGCTTTTTACCCCGTCATTCAATCATTCACACACAACACGCAGTAACCATCAAGTTAGCATGAGTTGGTGAAATTGCAGTAGAATCTGACTCAACATGTCTGTCTGCTCAACCAAACAGAAAGTGAAAAAAATCATTAAGTTTCATTAAATGTTTAACCCCTTAAGGACACATGACATGTGTGACATGTCATGATTCCCTTTTATTCCAGAAGTTTGATCCTTAAGGGGTTAAAGGAACACCATAGTTTTAGAATACAAAGCTGTATTTCTAACACTATAGTGTCCCTCTGCCACTGTGCCTCCTCCCACCCCTGGCGAACAAAGGGTTAAACACTTTTTTTCACTTCCCTGATTCCAATGCTGAAGTCCCTCAGCACTGGATCATTCTCTGCCTCCTCCTATGTGAGCGATGGGGGAACCTAATCTGCATGTGCAGAGATCACAGGGATCATTAGCCTTCCCCAAAGGAAAACAATAAAGTAATGCTTCCCTATTGGGACTTTTAAGATGCTAGTCTTCCTCATGCAAATGGGAGACTGCCACAAGGGGCAGCCTTAACCTTGCAATGTAAGTATTGCAGCTTCTCTGAAACTGCAGTGATTTACATTGCATGGTTAAGAGGAAAGGGACACTGCACCCAGACCACTTCAACGCCTATAATGCCCCTTTTAATATATTAGTTGTGAAATGACAGTTGTCCTCTAAAGGGACATGTGCGTAGGTAGATGGGACTGTGTAGTTGGGAACTCATTAACCCCTCCCTTCCATTTACCTGTCCTAAATAACAAGACTACAAATATACTTGGTGACAAAAACAGGCCACAGCTTTATTAAATAACAGATGTCATTAACATCAACCTAAAACATATGAATGTAATATAAATGTATATAAACCACTTCTAACAGAGTACAACCTTGTCAACCTAATCCTAAAACCTGGGCGCGTGTCCTCCCACTCGTCCTAACCACCAAATGGCCTCTAACACGGCCTTACGTTAACTTAACGCTAACCACTAGCCGGCCATTAGCTCAGTGGGCATGTCCATTAACCCATACATGTAACCGAGGTTAGGGGATGGATCAGCCCCAACCATCCATCTTCCCATAGACTGGTTGGCAAGGACCTTTATCTGTCCGCTGTGACAAGAATTAGTACATTAAAGAAATGAACAACATCCACAGGGAACGGAGAGTATGAAGCTGTTACCAAGCCAGTCAATTTAGGATCGCTGCTGCCTACTAACATGCCTTCTTATTTATATTGCCACCACCCCTACTTCACTTCTCACCCCTTTCTTGAACCTCCCTACTATTACCCTATCTACTCTCACATGTCTCTGTTCTGACTAGGCCTTGCCTGCCTCCTCTGGGTCTTTCTAGAGACCCCTTAGGCACTTGCTGAGTGGCTATATGTGTGCAGAGAAAAATAGAAATTATCACTTTTATAAATTAACCACGATACATCACCCTAGCTGTTAATCAGAAAACCGATCCTCTGCAGCTTTTGAAAGCTGTTTTTAGATAAACCCTCAAGGGAAAAAAATCCTTATTGAATGCATGCATGTTACATCTGCTAAATCGTGATTTTGATATTTTTCTGTATTCGGGCGGTAGAATGTGCCTTTAAGAAATGTTACATCAGTTATTCAGTCCAAATGAATACAATATCCATTTTATTTGGACAGAATGCCAGTTAAAATGCTGGGAATTCTCACATGTTCAGATGCCAAGCTGATAGTCTGTTCCCATTGGTCGATGTGTCGGGGCACGCCAACTGCAAAGCCTCTGTCCAGGGAATCGAAGTCACAAACTGTGAAAATGGGATTTATTTCAAGCTTGTTTGCGTTGGGCAAAAATATGCAAATCCCTGGTCAGTTCTCCACGGTTACCATTTTAGTAAATAAACCATTAGTTTGCATTATTGGTGGCCGTCTCAGAGCTGTGCGAATACTTTGTATCTTACACGTAGTGTTGTGTAGAGTTAGGAAAATGAACACTCGTGGTTTATTTGTTTTTCCACAGAGGAGGGCGTGGTGAAGCTGTACCTGCGAGGACGTTCAGTCCCACTCTTTGTTCCTGACTCACTGGTTGCCTCGTACAGTCTTGAAACCAAGGGAGAACTGCCCCCCAAAGAACTACAGCTTGAATGGGTGTATCCTGCCTCTGTGTTATCGTTCTGTCATCTTGACCGTGACTGCGGCATTCTAACTGTGGCTGATATGTATTAAAGGGACACTGCAGGCTTCCACATGTGTTAGATCACAGTTAGTTATACTGGGTGGGTTTATATTAAATGGACAGTCCAGGCTCCCGTACAAGTTAGATCAGTTAGTTATACTGGGTGGGTTTATATTATTAAATGGACAGTCCAGGCTCCCGTACATGTTATACTGGGGGGAATCTGTATTATTAAATGTATAGCCAAGGCTCACTTACATGTTGGATGACATTTGTTCACTTTGTGATACATCTTACTAAGTCAACAGTTTATCACTACAGCTTTTTATATGTACACCTGTTATGGCATCACCACCAATGAGAGGTCTCACTTGGTTAGTTTCCCAACTATAGAACCTTCGCAAATCAAACTGTAAACTCAGATTTGAGAAACAGACAAACATTGAAAAATAAATACAAATCTAACAAGCAGTGCAATAATGACTGTTGATTTTCGAAGGAGCGCTTTTTTCAGTTATCAAAAATAAATAATCAACAGGTTTACCTATTATCCTTAACTTCTAATCTACAGATACGGGTATCGGGGGCGAGATTGCCGGAGTAACCTCTTTCTTCTGCCATCAGGGGAGTTGCTGTATTTCACAGCAGCCGTCTGTGTCCTGTACGACCCTGCTGGTGGCACTCAGCGTCACTATCGTGGACATACTGATGACATCAAGAGGTCAGATGGTGGTAGTCTTCAGATCAGAGGTCATCTTAAGCTAATAAAGTGGAGGGCAGGGATCCCATCACCACCCCCTCCCCCCCAATTCCTGCAGGTTTTATTAGCTTGTCAGAAGGGGAAGGGATTAATTTTGGGAGATGATTTGGGGGTCGGGATTAAATAATAGTAGTAGGGGTAAAATATATCAAGGGATACACACTGTGCATGGGCGGGGTCTGACGTTTCCCCCACCTTCCACAGTCTGGCTGTCCACCCCGACTCAGTGACCATCGCCAGTGGGCAAGTGGCCGGAAACTCACAGGATGGGAAGGTGAGCTAATACTCCTAAGGGGTATTAGCAATGTATGTGCCCTGTTGGTATTTTCACTTTGTTTATCCTTTCCCCTCACCCCCCCTCCCTCTCTTGAGGTTTTGCCCCCTCTTGTCCTGTCATAACAATCTTTCTATGTCTGTACTAAACCACTTACCTATTTATCTCTCCCAAATCACGTTATGATACCCCATTATTGCTGCCTTGGAAACCCAAATATGACTTAGTCTTTGTCTTGTAACAACTTTTTCTCTTGGTCCACTTACCTACAGTTCTTTAAATTATCTGCTTTAATTATTCGGGCACCCTGAAGCCCAAATCTTGCAGTTCTTTGTGAATGGTTGTAAATCAGTCCCTGTTCCTAATTCCCGGATCCTGCACTCGTTCAGTATGTATCATGTTGTATCTGCTCCAAGCATTTAGTTTGACTGTCTCCTTAGGCTCTTGCTCCTCATGTCCGGATATGGCACTCGGTCAGCCTGTGTACTCTTCATGTGATTGGAGTCGGAAGTTTTGAGAGAGCGGTTACCTGCTTAAGCTTCTCCAAGGCTGTAAGTGCTACCATCAGGTGTGGAGTTACATCGTGCTGGAGAGTGTGATACTTTGTGTAATCTCTCTCTTTTCCTTTTCTGGTGTAGGATGGTGGAAGCCACCTATGTGCATGTGATGAGTCTGGGGACCACGTTCTTTCTGTGTGGCAGTGGCAACGCGAGGTCAAAGTGACAGAGGTGAAGGTAAGTTCTCAAAGTATGTCAAAATGTTCTATATCCGAGCTTATGCCCATGAAACTTATTTAAGCTTTAATCTCTTAATTTATCGCTTTTTCTCCTGAATACCCTCATTCCAAGGACTAGATATTTAAATATAAAATGCCCCATTCTGTTCACGTCACCAGGGGGTTCTCAGGCTATCAACTCCCTGTTTCAGATTTTATTCTCAGTCCTATGTAGCCCTGCTTCCTCGTCTCCAGCTACAGTCCTGCCATTGTTCTCAAAATGTTTCTTGGTCTTCTCGTCGTACAACGTCATTAATTCTCTCCCTCACTCGCTCTTTTCTTGAGGTTTATTTACTAAACCGTGCACGTGTTGGATTGAAAATCAATTAGCAAAATTTAGCTAAGATTGTGGCGATTTTAGGAAATATTATCCAACTCTACTATAGTTACAGCTAGATTTTTCATTGTACTGCAGTTTTCTGTTTTGTGAATGAACCTTGTAAAATGATCTATTGCCGGACATGTTCAGTTTCTCTATGATAGTTAAGGCTCAAGAGGCAAAATAATCTCCATGGTAAAACCTGTAAAATTAAGCTATGAAGCCATAAATTAAAAATGTAAAAAAACAATAATCTAAATCTGCCTTCAGTCATAGATATTGACGTTCCTATTCTTTCTGTCCTCAGTGTTCCACGGAGCCGGTGCTCGCTGCCATTTTTCATCCAACAGATCCTAATATGATAATCACCTGCGGGAAGTCCCAGCTGTATTACTGGAGTCTGGAAGGAGCTGGAGGTGGAAATGCTACTCTGAGCAAGAGGCAGGGGGTGTTTGAGGTAAGGGAGTGAGAATTGGGCTAGAAAAGTGATTAAAAGCGATAGTAAATGAGTGTAGTGTTGACCAAAATCAAGTATTCGCAAGCAGCGAAATGTGATCATGCAAAGGCAACCAATATGTTGATAAGGCCCTTCCGATGGGCAGGCACCACGTTGCAAATCGTGGAACATGACCTTGAAATGTTTATTGCATACATTGTACATGCTGCTTTTACTGTACCAATCGAACATAATATGTCAATGGGGAATGGACATACTGTTACATTTCAACTCCCCCTTTTCTTTTCTTTACCCCTCGTTTTGAAATATTTTTTTTTTTTTTTTTTATTTTTCTCAAATCACAGAAATTATCAACATGGGTTCATATAGCGTATGTTGTTTGAGCATTTCTTGAACATCATATTAGAGAGTAGGTTATACATCAAAAGAGAAATAGGAGTCGCGTAGCGTAGCTTGGGAGTGTGTTAGTGAATTGAGGGGTTTTTGTTTTTGTGGTGTATGTCTGCCTAAGCGTCGTGTGAGTGGTGTAGCCACATAACTGCTCGTCATAAGTGCGGTACTGGTGGTAGGTATGTCCGTGGCTAGTGTGGATGCCCCTCCCTCAGGAAAAGGTAGTGGGACCTGTGCGCCATGTAAAGGTAGGGAAGGGGTGGGGAAGAGAGATTTTCTGAAGTGTTGCCATTAAGCGCCTGGATGGTTTTTGTGTGTAATCTATGCCATGTGTATACGGGTGAAGAGGGTGGTACTGCTGAGTATGTCTTATTCTGAGCGGCAGTGTTATTAATCGTCTCTGTATCCCCGCTAGCTGAAAGCATGTACCATAGATAGAAGTATGGCAAAAGTAAAACAATAAAAGCATATCAATAATAATAATAATAAAAAAATAAAAAAAATTATAAAACAGTCGAGAAAATGTAAATCCGACTCATGGTCGTGGGGTCACCAGGATTGGTAGGGTTAAATAACTGGGACAGTTCCTGGCTGTGTAGAGGGTCTTGGGTGAGGGCTCAGCAGCCACTGAAATCCGACATCCCCTCAGTCAAGTCACGGGTCCGGTGGGCTTGGGTCCTGCCGCCCGGGGTATGAACTCCCTGATCGCAGCTAAGTCCACTTGTGACAGGTTTCTGCCTTCAGGGGTGGCATGAAGGGGGAGTCCCAGCGATCGCAAGTGGTCCTCCAGCTCCTGATATGTTTCTGCGCAGAGAGTCGTGTCTTGGGCTGTTATTAGGACCGTGCGGGAGGGGCCCCATCGATATGGCACCTCGTTAGTGCGTAGCTGCTGAAGTAGTGGTCGTAGGGATTGGCGCCACAGGAGTGTGTTCTTAGCTAGATCCGGGAAAATGAGCAGTGAGGCGCCCTCAAAGGTAATGGGCGTCTTTCCCCTCACCGCGGCTTGCAAGAGGGCCTTGTCCTGTAGGGTGCTGAAGCGGAGGATGAGGTCTGGTGAAGTGGAGGATGGTGCGTTGGTTGGTTTGGGGAGACGGAACATACCGTCTAGCCTCATGTTCTTGGCTTGTTTCGGAGAGAGGTGGGCCGCGAAGAACCGCCTGATAAAGTGAGGTAAGTCCGACAGTCCCACATTTTCCGGCACTCCCCTGAGTTTTAAGTTGTACCTTCGCCTCTGATCCTCCATGGTGTCAAGTCTGCGGTCAATCTTTAGCCGATGTTGATCCAGAGTAGCTAGACCCTTCTCCACCACAGTAAGCCGGTTATCATGCACGCTCTGGGTAGTTTCGAGTTGGGCCAGTTTGGTAGTCGTGTGTTCGACTGCCTTTTTGAGGGGGGCTAGGTCACCCGCCAAGTTCGCGCGGAGTTCCGCCAACATTGCCTTAAGTTGCGCTGCGGTGACCGGGTCCCGGCCTGAGGCGGCCTCCAGTGGGACGTGGCCCTGCTTCGTAGCCAGAGTGGACTTTTCCATCGGGGCAATAGCCATGTCCTCCGAGGAATAGGAGGAGCAGTCGTCCGCCAGCGCCATTTTGTCCCATGCGGCCCTCTGTGAGCTCCGGAATAGGTCCCCGATATCACGGCCCGGTGGGCTCTTGTCTGGCTTTGATTTTTTGTTTTTACGGCCCATTCTTGTTCCTGCAGTCAGTGAGCTGTTTTCTGCGTGGTTAGCAGGTCTCTTTTTCTGCAATTTCAGCCGTTTTTGGGTAGTTGTAAGCGGAGCATAGAGAGCTTGCTACCATCCAGGTTCGCCCCTCGTTTTGAAATATGACAAAATAAAAATTGTCCATTCGAGAAATATATGTAAAATGAAAGAGATGGTCTACAAAAGGACCAGGAAGTTGTAGAAAACTGAAGTGAAGGGGCAGGATACATACTGAAAAACTTTGAGAGAAAAATCCAAGAATTCTTATCATTCGAGGTCTTAAGGAGTAGGTTCTGGGGTTACAGTGAGGGCATAGTAGACGGAGCCCAATAGCGAACTTTAACTACTGAATGAGATGGACTTCAGGAAGCTAGTGATTGAGCAAAATCAAAATTAGGATCGTCGGGAGGTGGTGAGACCTGCAGGAGAAGTTTGGCTTGCTGAGGTTGAGGTGTTAAAAAGTGATCCCACTGGATGAATTATATGTGATTTTTACCATTTACACTCTATTTCCACAGAAACACGAAAAGCCACGGTTTGTTCTCTGCGTGGCATTTGCTGAGAATGGAGATGTCGTTACAGGAGATTCCAACGGGAACCTTTTTGTTTGGGGTAAAGGTGAGTAAAAGATAGGTTAGAGCTGATATTCTTTAAATGTCTGTCTCCAGTCTTTCAATTTAAGACTCCATATTCACATACAGTTTGATCCTCTATATCTCCCTCCTTTCTATCACTCAGGCACTCACAGGATCTCCCAGGCAATCACCGGAGCACATGATGGAGGGGTGTTTGCGCTGTGTGTGTGCCGCGATGGGACGCTCTTATCCGGAGGAGGGAAAGATGGAAGAATTATTCTATGGGACAGAGATTACAAGCGAGTGCAGGAAACACGGGTATGAAAAGGAGAGGGGCAGGGAGGTTTAAGAGGTGAAATCTAACTGGAAATAACGAAAAAGGTGGCTTTGGGGGCAGGAGACTGTAACACTGCTAAAATCCTACCTAGATCCCAGAGTGTTTTGGGCCAGTCCGGACCATCGCCGAGAGTCGAGGAGGAGAGACGCTTTATGTTGGAACCACCAAGAATTGTGTGATGAGCGGCAACTTGGAAAGTGGACTAACTTGCTTAATACAGGTACCGTGTGAGATCTGGAGTCTGAGTGTGAAAATCAAGCAGAAATACTGGGGGTAAATTCATGGACTCTACCTTTAAACAAAAACTCAAACTATCTGACTGTCAGTGGAGTGAGGAACTCATTTGCTTTGAAGAAATTGGTCCAGGTACCAGATTTGAAGTTTATTCTCCCTAGTTCTCTTTGGTGTAAGCCAGTAGGAGGCACTGATGTCCATTAATTGTCTCAGTATTCTCAGTTCCATCATTGCCAGGCACATAAATTGACTTATCAATGTGGTTAGGAAAATACAGTTGCCATGGTGATCAATAAATGATTTGAAAAAATATACCTTGCCACTTGTGTTTGCATACCAGAAATATAAAATATCTTTGTCTTCTATGAATAACTAGTATTGCAAGGCATTGATAAGGTTATTCACTTCAAGTTAAAATTCAAAGAAAAATCTTCCGTCAGCTATGCCTCAAGTTCAGCTACTTTGGCACAAAATTTGAATACTTTAAATACTTTGGTGAATAACCTTATGAGTGATCACCCTTTTGGAAATGGTTTGAACAAATGTAATTCTTTGTATAAGGGCGTTTATTGGTTCTCTTTGAATACGCGACTTGATTCTGATAGTGACGCTGTTCATTAAGCAGATACTTGTTTTACTCTTGCTTAGGGTCACACAGATGAGCTATGGGGTCTCGGTTCTCACCCCTCCCAGGATCTGTTCCTAACCTGTGGACATGACAAACTAGTTCATCTCTGGAATAGTAAAGACCATCGTCCAGTCTGGACCACCACCCTGGAGGTAAGAGTGGGACACACTGATATGTTATTAAGTGTTCTTGCATGGCAAGACCACCTACTATTATCTCACATATATATTATTATTCTTATTATAGCCAAATTTACCACCCTAACTCCTCCCACAGTTTTTACACTACATAGACCGTAATATACCGAAACTTGCGGATTGTTCCCGATCGGTGTGCTATTACTTTGTGGAACGTTTCGCCGAATGGTTCATGAAATATCGTCGTTTTTGTGGCGAAATTGGTCCCATGGGAATGAATGGCAAAATGGGAGCTGGCAAAAGCTGAAAAATCAGAACATGATTTCTAAACTTCCACCACTCCCTCATTTTCAAGCCCACGTTCAGCTATCCCTGCTGCCTCTAAAAATGTCCACGGCTAAGCCATAGTCCTGATAGTTTTCACAATATGACCATTTGTTTGCAACTCAATGCCGTCCGTTGACATTCATTGAACCTCCACTCTAGCAACCTTTAAATTTGAAGTGCAATTTCTAAGCTGCGACTGTGCCTTCATTTTTAATATTTCAGAGACATACTATGCATCAAAATGTAGGTCTGGGTCTTGTGATTATCACAATATAAAGCTCTTCACTTAAACTCCCCTTCTTGTGCTCCTGCTAATTCTCCTGGCTCTGCTGTAAGCTCTGTCCAAGTGACCCCCGGCAGGGAATTATGGGATATATACTTGAGTACTTTACAGCAGTTAATATAATCAGATAATGTAATCAACAGTGAATCAAAAACTTTATTGCAGAGTTTGGTCTGATTAAAAAAAAAAAAAATAATGATTCCATACATTAAAATATTGAATGCTAATAGATATTTATTCTACCTGGCTATTTTTTAATTTTTAATTTTGCTGCTAAGTTTTTCCTTCATATTTTCCAGTCTGTGATATAACCCTATTGAACACCTTGCGGAGAGAGTAGTGTGGTCGGTGTATTTTGTGGCGCTACAATCCAATATTTTGATCCCTTAGAATTGAGATTTATTAGTGCTCACCACATGTTTAAACATTAAATATTGCGCGGCTTCCTGTGATGATCGATTGTGGTATTTAAAGGCAGCATTGGTGCCAAGCGAGACTATCTGGCTGAGCTCCAGGAAGTGATAATGTAAATCGGGCCTGCATCGGAGAAGAATATTTTAAACCTGTATGAAATGGCGTAATTTATTAACCACAGTAATGTCTGAAAGTGTTAAACAAGAGTAATACTTAGAGGAACTAAACGTTTTGTCTCAGACTGCAGTTTGAGATTTTTTTTGGGGGTGGGAAGGGTGGGAGGTGGGTCGTATTATCCGGTGTTGATTAAAAATGTGTGTGCTGTTTATAATGTGTGCATGCATGTCATTGATGCATTGACTGCAATAGAGAGGGAGCCTAATGCAGTTTATAATGCTGCTATAGGGGTTAAGAGTTTTGGTATATTTTTAGGGGGGGGTAAATATGCACTGTGCACCATAATGTTCAAAGGTACAATTGCTTAGAATAACAGTTGTAGGTACATTGATGTTTCTCACTAGACCAGGAGGGCTATAGAACATTGAGATTGCAGACATCCAGGCCAAGCACAAACTTACAGTGCTGAGCTAATAAAAGCACTTCACGTTCTGACTGTGTTCTCACTCCGGCAGTGCTGTGCCAGAAGGCATCCCAAAGCACCTACACCTATTTTAATACAATGAATAGAAGGAAACAACAAAAATAAAGTCACTCAAACCACAATAAAGTGGGTGAGTGAAAGCTGGATAGCAGATAAGTATCTTGTTTAAATAACTGTTAAATTTAACTGGACCAGCACTAAACGTACATATATACACATACACACCCGTCTCAAAACTAGAAACAAATTAAGACAATGACTAGCCTTATAAGGCTTCTCCACCAACTCATAATGGGAGTATAGGGTCATCCAGTAAATTGCTAAAACTAATGGTAGCTTTATTAGACTGCTTGTTTTAGCCCAGGATTTGCCCTGTCCCCAATCTAGATTAACGTAGATATACCAGGGTGAGAGTATATACCTTATTGGTGGGAGTGCCCGAGACCAGTAGACACAATATCTAAGGAGTAACAATACTGATTGCTTTTAGAAGAATCGGAATGGTGGTCTGTGTTGGATTGTGCAGAGATGTCTTACTGCAGTGCGAGAACACATTGTGTTCACTAATCTATTCCTATCCCTGCAGGATCCCGCTCGGGCTGCTGGGTTTCACCCATCCGGTGGTGTAGTAGCTGTGGGGACCTCTACTGGAAGGTAAGTGGAAGTGGGCAATATGCTCCATTGGTGGCCATCTGAATCCCCAATCCCTACTGACTGCACACATCGTAGAAAATTAGGGTTAATTAAAGAGTGATACATTTTGCCAATGCATTGTGCAAGCAAGTTTTATCGATAAAATCACTTTTCTACCTCTAGTATACATGTATTTGCTGTTAACATTCAGAATGCAGTATGTGCCTATAGGTGTACTACAGAAAATATTATACAAGATCATTTTATCGTTACATCCACAAGTAATTCATCAATAAACTGTTCATTTATTTTTATTTAAAATACCTCTCAAGTTGCCAAGACCACTTCATCTTAATGTTCAGTAGTTTTAATCCTTCACTGTAAATCCTAAAAACAGGAATTGAATACACCTCTTAGTGGCTGTCTTCCTGAGGTGTTTCCATCTCCATAATGGAATAAAACTCCGTTATTCAATCAAATTATGCTGATGGCAGCAATTGACTGGTGGAGCACTGTGTTTTTCTGCACATGCAATCTCAAATCCATTGCTTTTCTGTGAGAAGCATGAGATTGGATGAGACGGTGGATGACGTCCACTTGGATGCGAACATCAACAGAGGCTGAGCTATCACGGGACCAGGGGGCTCACAGCCCAGTCGCAGGCTGTCTGCCAATGGCCCTATCGCAGGAGTGCTTCTACTCCTGCCGGTCACTCCATGTAGTGTGGACTGCAGGTAAAGGAGCTTCTGTTTCCTGACCTGATCTGACAGGAAGAGCTCTCAAAGAGCACCAAACTACTTCCTGCCAGATTGGGTAGAGGAACAGAGGCTCCTCTACCCATGGCCACACTACATGGAGTGACCGGCAGGAGGGGGGTGCTTCCCCTCCAGTCGGTCACCCTGCGATTGGATGGGCTGGGGGGGAAGAAAGAAATGCACAGAAGGATGGGGGGAGTCACACAAAGGGGCTTGAGGAGGGAAGAAGAGAGGCTGGAGGTGCTGAGTGCTCCCCATAGAAATGCATTGATTCAATGCCTCTCTCTATGAGGAGATGCTGATTGGCCAAGGCAGGGTTGTGCCTTGTATGTGCAATAGCCTCCCAATGCTTTTCTATGGGAAAGCATTAGATTGACTGAGATCATAAAATTTGATCTCCGGCAAAGTGATGAGCACACTCCTAGGATTTCAAAATAAACAAGATAACGTCCTTGTTTACAGCTGTGCATTTCAGTCCCATTACCAAACTTTTCTTAATATGTCAAGGTAATTTGACTAAAACATTGATTATATGCAAATGCATTATTAGGGTGGTATAAACTTTTTATTTATTTCTCTCCTACCCCCTGGGCTGCATTCATTCCTGTCCAGCCTGGATGCGTAATCTTTATTTTACTTTCATTTTACATCAATTCTACAATGCAGGTGGGGGTGGACCGTGCTGACAGTGATGTAATGGAATCTAAAATAAAGTGATTATTTGCAGGACTATAGGCTTCCTTCAAGTGGAAAATATGGCCTTTCTGTAGAAAACTATAGAAAATCTGTGTTTTTTTTATTTTTAGCTGAATATAAACCATTACCCACTGTATTAAATAATTACTCATGCAGAGTAATACTGTCTTGTGGTGTGTTCTTTCCAGTACAAACATTACCTGATGTGCGCTGCTCATCATGTTGTGTCTGCCTGCTAAAAGGACATGCGACATTCTAACATTCCTTGTTTACTTTCTACATTACCGGTCCTTATCCGCTCCTTAAACAAGCACTGAAAGGTTGTGACCTTCACACACCTGATATAGGGACCATGCATTTCAAGTGTAATAATTATATTTGGATGAGCGCAGCCTTTTAAGAAATGAAACCTTCTTTAATATATTTGTTCTTGGTTATAAATTGCCCCCTCTAGTATTTACTCCTCACCCACCACCTCTTTCTTTTTAGGTTCCTTGTGCTGGACACTCAAACCCACGTTATTGTAACGAGTATTTCACAAGCCAGCGAGCAGATCAGTGTAATCCGCTACAGCCCCGGTATTGTGCTAGATGTATATTTATTCTGTTAATATGTAGTGTTTATTGTTTGTTTTGTTTTTAAGCACCTGATTTCCTATCTTTCACAATCACAATGTCTGTTTGCCACACAGATGGTCAATACTTAGCAGTTGGATCTCATGACAACTTTATCTATGTCTACGAGGTGGCAGAGGAAGGTCGAGAGTACAGATGTGTGGGCAAATGCACGGTAAGAACATTTAGCTGTCTTTTAGTTATAAAGCATCAACCTCGGGCTTAAAAAAAATAAATAAATCTGCAGTGACCTGTGGAGCAAGTTAAGACTATTGAATAACCTAGTGTTGCAGAGAGACAGACACGGATGCACTATGTTTGTTTTAAATCCTTGCTACAGGCTAACTATCTATCGGAATGGTCAAGCTGAGACACAAAGTACAGATGATGGCATGTAGAAACATCATACCTTGGGTAGAGGCAGGAGAAATGGGTTTAGTTGGGCAGGGTATATCCTGGGGCTTGGAGACCTGGGGATAGCAGAATCGTTTTACAAGCCTTTTTAAATGAGTTTAGAGACAGGTTTTAACAATGGTGAGCTGGTGGTGCATTCCAGAGAGCTTTGAAAAAGTGATGATAGCTACTCTTTGTCTCTGGCATATAACTTGGAGGAGGACTAACTGTGACCATTCGGAGACCTCGAGGTGCTTTCTGAAGTGCCACCGTCATGGTGGAAGTATCATGTAGAGCATCCTAGACATTCCCCAACTCTGTCACCATGTATAATGAGGAAGTGTTTTACTTACTGGAAGACAGATGAACTCTTAACTATTTGCAAAGTGAACGACACATTGAAAGACTCCATTTAGATCTGTTTACACAATGTTGCATGTTCCTACAGGGTCACTCTAGTTATGTCACACACTTGGATTGGTCCTCAGACAGTTCCTGCTTTATGACCAACAGTGGAGACTATGAAATCCTCTACTGTGAGTATATAAATGTCTATCTACATTCTAAACTTTGTTACATGAAATTGGGTAAGCAGTCCCCTGTATGTCCAGCACAGTCTTTACCAGCTCACGTTATTTTATGAAGTTTAAACGGCAAGCCATTTCATCCAGTGTTGCTGCAGCCGATCCGGTGTTGGGAAAAGGACAGTTACGAAATATTGACAGTGACCCTTTAGATATGTTTGAAGTGGTGGACGTCTGTTGTGCCTTCTAGGTCCTTCACGCATTACAAAAACAATGGTAGTAAATGCTCCAGAGCCAATATAAACATCCTGCATAAACTATTTCCCTCTGTCCGTCAAATGCATCCTGTGAGCTCATTTACCATGACTTCAGACTTTCTCTTATCACATTGATGACCTCTGTTTCGTAACATCCTGATTTGCAAGTCAGTTATTGCAATGCTGCGTTTAGCCAGAAGATGGCACTAAACCTGTCCCAGGCCTTAATCAGATTTCCCCAAGAGAATCTCAAATTATGGGACACGTGCAGTTATGTGAGGTAGAGGTTAGTCTGGGAGGCCATAAGCTTTTCTAAAGAGATGGGGTTTAAGGCACTTCTTAAAAGAATAGGGGAGAGTCTGATGGCGGTAGGCAGGCTATTCTATAGGAAGGGAGCCCCACGCGAGAAGTCCTGCAAGCGCGAGTTGGCCGTATGGGTGCTAGCAGCGGTCAGGAGGTGGTCACGGGCAGAGCGGAGGGAATGAGGAGGGGCATATCTATGGATCAGTGAAGAGATACAAGAGTGGCTAGAATTGTTCAGTGCTTTTTATAGGTGTGAATTAGTACCTTGAATTGACTCCTATAGGATACAGGAAGCCAATGTAAGGACTGACAGAGGGGTGAGGTGTGAGAGAACCGACTAGAGAGGAAAATCAGTCTGGCAGCAGCGTTCATTATGGACTGTAGTGGTGCAGTACAGCTTTTGGGAAGACCAATCAGGAGAGGGTTACAATAATCCATGTGGGAAATTACTAGAGCATGGACAAGCTCCTTGGAAGCATCTTGCATAAGAAAGGGGCGGATGCAGGTTATGTTTTTAAGATGGAATCTACAGGATTTAGCAACATACTGGATGTGAGGCTCGAAGGTGAGGCCAGAATAAAGTATGACGCCAAGACAGCGCGCTTTCAAGGATGGACTGATGTGGGTACCACAAACTTGAATTGAGAGTGAAAGAGGAGGATCAGTATTAGGAGAAGGAAAGGCAAGGAGCGCAGTTTTAGAGACATTGAGTTTCAGAAAGCGGGAGGACATCCAGTCAGAGATGGAAGAAAGGCAAGCAGTGACACGTTGCAGGACGGCAGGGGAGAGGTCCAGGGAGGAGAGATATAACTGGGTGTCATAAACGTACAGGTGGTAGTGGAATCCAAAAGTTTGCCAAGAGAGGCAGTATAAAGAGAAAATAGAAGGGGACCAAGGACAGAGCCTTGGGGGACTCCAACTGAGACAGGACGAGGGGAGGAGGTATCATTAGAAAAGGAGATACTGAATGAGTGTTGGGAGAGATAAGAGGAAAACCACGAGAGGACAGTCACAGAGACCGAGTGATTGAAGAGTTTGAAGAAGGAGAGCATGCTCAACGGTGTCAAAGGCCGCAGTGAGGTCAAGAAGAATTAGTATGGAGTAGTGGCCTTTGGATTTAGCTGCAATTAGGTCGTTAGTAACTTTGATAAGCGCAGTCTCAGTAGAGTGGAAGGGGCGGTAGGGTAGTGTTATATGTGGAGATGGCCAGTGAAGGACAGGAGAGGGAAGGCATGGACAGCAGTCGTGAATCAATATCAGCTGACAACTGCTGGAGATCAAGAGAATTAAGGTCCATCCTGAGTTGAGGGGGGTTAGGCTGAGGTTGTTGGGTGAGGGGGTACATGAGAGCAAATGATAAGAAGTGGTGATCAGATAGAGAGGAAATGGAGTGTTTCATACATCTGAAACCCTCAATATTTAATCTGTATGTCTAGCTAGGCACATGTTTAACAAATTATTTTATTCTTAATTGTCTTTTCTTCTTTTTTGTTATACAATGACAGTGTGCAATGGCCATACATCTGCTGTGTGATGCTACAATCTGTGTTTCCAATGACCAAATCTGCCAGATTACTAGTAATTGCATAATGTTCCTGTCCGCTCGCACCTCCCATGCCTCCCCGATCCGGTCCCTGCATTGGCTTCCAGTTAGATATAGGGCTCAATTTAAAATCCTGGTGCTTGCTTACAAGTCCCTACATAATGCTGCTCCAACCTACCTATACTCCCTAATACACAAGTATGTCCCGTCAAGGCCCCTACACTCTGCCAGAGACCTACGTATATCCTCTGTCTGTACTCCCACCTCTAACTCTCGCCCTCAAGATTTCTCCAGGGCTGTACCTCTTCTGTGAAACTCCCTTCCCTTCTCGGTAAGACTTTCACCCAGTCTCCATTTATTGAGAAAATCATTGAAAACTCTCTTCTTCAAGAAAGCATATCAATTAAACTGTTAGCAGGTTTTTATCCCCCACCACCTCTTGACTCCTCTCCTGCAACTGCCAAAATTACCTACTAAGCCCTCAGTGAATACTTTTCTAACAACCTACTTCGTACCCCTACTTTTACCCTGTGTGTCATTATACCCCACTCCCTCTAGAATATAAGCTCCTTGAGCAGGGCCCTTAACCCCTCTGTTCTTGTACATCCAGTTGTCTGGTTACAATTACGTGTCTGTTAGTCCAGCCATTGTACAGCGCTACGGAATCTGATGGCGCTATATAAATAAAATAATAATCCTATCACGTCCTGTTTGGACTGAATATGAAACTCACTTTAATTTTGTGAAGTACCAGCATGTAGGCTATGGTAAACGTCTATTTTAAAATCTGGTTTGGCACTGTTTTTTGAGCTGTTGTACAAAATAAAGATTTCTATTGAAATGCATTTAATTGGAGACCAAATATAATCTATTTATATATTACATGTTCCGTGTTGACAAAACCCCACAATCATAATGTTTAATAGTAAAGTATTTTCATGGAAATATTACTATATTTGTGTTGTACGTTATTTGGACTACAGGCTGATTAACCCCCTCTGTCTGTACCTTAAACAAAATTAATTGAAGTGTAAGTTAATAATTTTCAATATCTATCCGCTGTTGGATTTAAATGGTCGCTAACTGCATCCAACCAGAACTAGCGCGCGTGTGTGTGTGTGTGTGTGTGTGTGTGTGTGTGTACTTAGCATTGGTCACAGAACAAGCACAAGATATAACAGGTCATAAACAGTATTTACTAGTGGAGCACAGAACAGGTAATAACTGCTCAGGTTTGAGGCAATAAAATATTAGCCAGATCCACGGCTGTAACTATAAAACTCTTGAACAGTAATTAAAGGGACACTCTGGGCACTGTAACCTTGCCCTCTTATTTATTTATTCCTGGCATGTGAAGTGGTTATAGTGCCTGGAGTAGTCTTTGTATTCAGTTTTCAAATGTTTTTAAGTGGTTTAATATGAAATGATAGTCCCCAGAAACCAGTCCCATGTAAGCTGCTCTGGATAATAAAGAAGCATTATCCCGTACATCAATTGCCCGCATTGACTGGCTTGGAGTGTCATCTGACCGCTGTCAGCCTATCACAATAGCCCATTGGTGGGATGAATTGGTATGGCTAGAAGAAAGTGCATAATCTTTGTCTTAGTCATATCTCTTGTGGGGGCTGGGCTGTGGGTGGTTTGGGACCCTAGTTCAGTGTTAAACTATTCAAAAATGGTTTAATACTGAATGGATGTAAAAATCCAAGGGCAGAGTACAGAATATTTTATAGAGTCCTAACCGCAACATCTGAGTAAAGGGATTTAGGGGGATTATTTCTGATGACTTAAAGGTAGACAGACAATGTAATAGAGCAGCAGGAAATGCTAGCAGAATGCTTGGTTGTATAGGGAGAGGCATTAGCAGTAGAAAGAGGGAAGTGCTCATGCCATTGTATAGAACACTGGTGAGACCTCACTTAGAGTATTGTACACAGTACTGGAGACCGTATCTTCAGAAGGATATTGATACCTTAGAGAGAGTTCAGAGAAGGGCTACTAAACTGGTTCATGGATTGCGGGATAAAACTTACCAGGAAAGGTTAAAGGATCTTAACATGTATAGCTTGGAGGAAAGACGAGACAAGGGGGATATGATAGAAACATTTAAATACCGTATTTTTCGCTCCATAAGACGCACCTCACCATAAGACGCACCTAGTTTTTAGAGGAGGAAACCCAGAAAAAAAATATTCTGAACAAACTGTTCCATAGTGTTTCTTACCATGGGACAGTTTGTTCAGAATATTTTTTTTTTCTCCCCTGTCCCATAATGATCTTTAACCCCCCTTTCCTCTGTCCCATAGTGATTGTTAACCCCTCCTACCCTGTCCCATAGTGATTGTTAACCCCTCCTACCCTGTCCCATAGTGTTCTTTAACCCCTCCTCCCCTTGTCCATTAGTGTTCTGATCCCATAGTGTCCCCCCCTCCCATTGTCCCATAGTGCACTTTCCCTCCCATAGTGTCCCCCCCTGCCCTTGTCCCATAGTGTCTCCCCCTCCCCTTGTCCCATAGTGTGTCCCCTCCCCTTGTCCCATAGTGTCCCCCCTCCCCTTGTCCCATAGTGTCCCCCCCTCCCCTTGTCCCATAGTGTCCCCTCCCTTTCTCCCATAGTGTCCCTCCTTCTCCCATAGTGTCTCCCCCTCCCCTTGTCCCATAGTGTCTCCTCCTCCCTTTCTCCCATAGTGTCTCCCCCTCCCTTTCTCCCATAATGTCTCCCCCTCGTCCCATAGTGTCTCCCCCTCCCCTTGTCCCATAGTGTCCCTCCCCTTCTCCTCCCATAGTGTCCCTCCCCCTTCTCCCATATAGTGTCCTCCCTCCCCTTCTCCCATAGTGTCCTCCCCTTTCTCCCATAGTGTCCCTCCCCTTCTCCCATAGTGTCCCCCTCCCTTCTCCTCCTATATAGTGTCCTCTTCCCCTTTGTCCCATAGTGTCTCCTCCCTCCCCTTTGTCCCCATAGTGTCTCTCCCTCCTTTTGTCCCATAGTGCCCTCCCTCCCTTGTCCCATAGTGTTCTCTTTCCCTCCCTTGTCCTATAGTGTCTCTTCCCTCCCCTTGTCCCATAGTGTCCCTCCCTGTCCCATAGTGTCCCTCCTGTCCCATAGTGTCCTCCTCCCCTTGTCCCATAGTGTCCTCCTCCCCTTGTCCTTCCATAGTGTCTCCTCCCTCGCCCCATAGTGTGTCCTCTCCTTGTCCTATAGTGTTTCCCCTCCTTTCTCCCATAGTGTCCTCCCCTTGTCCTATGTGTCTCTCCCTGTCCTATAGTGTTCCCTCCTTTTGTCTCCATAGTGTTCTCCTCCTTGTCCTATAGTGTTCCCTCCCCTTGTCCCATAGTGTCTCCCCCTCCCCTTGTCCCATAATAACTTACCTGTCTTGGAGCGTGGGCCGGCTTCACAGCGCGCTCCGCGGTCCAGGAACTTCTATTTCGGGTTCCGGTTTCCGGCGGGACTGAAAGGAAGTGTGCACACTGAGTGTGCACTTCCTTTCAGTCCCGCCGGAAACCGGAACCTGAAATAGAAGTTCCTGGACCGCGGAGCGCGCTGTGAAGCCGGCCCACGCTCCAAGACAGGTAAGTAATTCTTCACATTCGCTCCATAAGACGCACAGACATTTCCCCTCACTTTTGAGGGGAAAAAAGTGCGTCTTATGGAGCGAAAAATACGGTATATAAAGGGAATCAACACAGTAAAGGAGGAGACTATATTTAAAAGAAGAAAAACTACCACAACAAGAGGACATAGTCTTAAATTAGAGGGACAAAGGTTTAAAAATAATATCAGGAAGTATTACTTTACTGAGAGGGTAGTGGGTGCATGGAATAGCCTTCCAGCTGAAGTGGTAGAGGTTAACACAGTAAAGGAGTTTAAGCATGCGTGGTATAGGCATAAGGCTATCCGAACTATAAGATAAGACCAGAATGTAAAAAACCAACTCGAGTTTCAGATAAAAATGGAGTTGATGCTGAGTAAACAAAAATTAAGCAAAAAAGCATCTGTCTGGATGAAATGTCTTAAATGATTGATATGGAAATTATTTGTGATTAATTGAAGGTAATTTGCATACCTTGAACATTGAAAATATATAAGCTATACCTGAACCTCCCTCCACTCTACTTATAGTAATATTGTTGTATATTTTGCTGCTACACTGTCTTGTGTCATATTTTAAATTTGTATAATATGTGTATATTACCAAATACTTAATGTTAAATTACATTTTAAAGAGGTCTATATATTCCTTTTTTCCTGCGAACAAGATCCGTAGGAAACGAATATTGATTACAGAATGTACAAATATTACAATTTGTTAAATGTTTAAAATAATTGAAAAGAAAGGGAAAAAAAAATAAAGATAAGATAAGACCAGGGACAAATGAAAGTATTTAGAAAATTGGGCAGACTAGATGGGCCGAATGGTTCTTATTTGCCGTCCCATTCTATGGAGGGACAGCGCCAGGGTCCTCCAGGCAATAGAACCAATTTGAGATAAAATGGTTATAGTGATCCATTTAAGGTAAACTTGCAGTGTTATTCACCAAAGTAAGAATTGTCAGGGATTTGAAGTAAATTTTTAAGTTTAAGGCCACAATAGCCTAATTTGAGAAACTTTCAAAGCCAGCTAACCTTCCAGTTCAGCTATGTTTGCCTTAAATGTGAAATTAACTTTGAAATCATTTTAGTAAATGATCTCGTGTAGGTGGCAGATATGGCACAGATGTCTTGGTTCTAATAATTCCCAGGTTGCAACACTGCAGGTGATAAGGCAGGTAAATATTACCAGTACACAGCTCCAGTGTATTGTCAAGAACCGGTCCCCAAACTGCAACCAACCTTGCTGGTCAATGTCTAAATCGAGCCGATTCCTGACACTGATTCCTGCCTCCAGGTATGCAGACAGGTGTGTACTCTGGCTCTGTGACAAATTAGATCATCTAGCACCTGCACAGAACAGTTCTTGACGTTCTGTCTGTCTCTCTCCTCACAAATACACCACCTCTCCGCAGTACAGTGCACACTGTCATTGTCTGAGGCTGGGAGAACTTGCTCAAACACATGACGAGATTTCCCCTTCATAATAATAAAGAAAAAAATAACTTGTGCCAAAGATTAAGAGATAATTTGGTTAACTCGGGCATATCCGCAGTCACCGCATCTGTAATTTCCAGACAGTGTGAAAATGAAGTCACTCACTCACTAAATAACTCCGAACATTGCAACTTCGCCTATTTTAAAGGCACAGTGATTAGAGACACTTTCAAGGGCCTGGATTTCACTCAAAACATTTTAAGTATTACAGATATACAAAAACCATATCAATACAATAGCGCAGGTAATTTCTTTTTCTTTGGTTTTTACTGTGTGTATTGGGGCTGATGTGTACTACAGTCGTTGCTGCCGCCCAGGAGTAGTGGGAGTTTGAGCGCAGGACTTGGTTTTTGTATATTTGTATTCACATTTGTATCACACAGCTATGTTACAAAGCTGCCGCCCACCCCATGTGTTCTGTATTAAGGGTTAATAAGTATATAGCAGTTTAGAAAAATACCCCTCCATTATCTTGGTGACTGTCTCTCAGTCACTGCCATTTTCATATAATTTACCTCATTTTAACCACCCTGTTTCATGTCACTCTCTCTGCCTCACCATGATACTCCTCTGTCACATTTCCGCTTTGTCTGTCTCAAAGCCCACCTTTTCTGTGTATCTCTTCACCTACACTGATCAGACACTACATTAAAACCACTGACAGGTGACGTGAATAACATTGATTACATCGTTACAATTGCACCTGTCAAAGGGTGGGGTATATTGGGCAGCAAGTAAACCGTCAGTTCTTCAATTTTATGTGTTGGAAGCAGGAAATATGGGACAGCGAAAAGACCTGCGTTACTTGGCCAAATAGTGATGGCTAAACGACTGGGTCAGAGCATCTACAAAACAGCAGGTCTTGTTTGGTGTTCCCGGTATGTTGTGGTTAATACCTACCATAAGTGGTGCAAGGAAGGACAACTGGTGAACCAGTGTCAGGGTCATGGACACCCAGGGCTCACTGATGCATGTGTGCTGAACCGCAGATTGGTCAAAGTGCACATGATGACCCCTTCCACCGCCGAAAACACCTTTTAATGGAATTGGTGAGCATCAGTTCTAGACCATGGAGCAATGGCACAAGGTAGCCTTGTCTGATGAATAACGTTTTCTTGCGTTGTTTAACTTGGTTCTAAGAGATGGCAGCTGGACACACTATGGGAAGAAGGCAGGCTGGCAGAGGCAGTGTTATCCTTTGGGCAATGTTATGCTGTAAAACCTTGAGTCCTGGCATTAATATGGATGTTTCTTTGACATGTACCACCTACCTGGAGATTGTTGCAGACCACGTACACATCTTGATGGTGTTCCCTCATGGCAGGGGCCTCTTTCAGCAGGATAATACATGTTCAGGAATGGTTTGAGGAACATGATAAAGAGTTCAGCGTTGCCTTGGCCTCCAAATTCTCCAGATCTCATAAACAGAACAACAAATCTGATCTATGGAGGCCCCACCTCTTGCAAGACTTCAAGGATCTGCTGCTAATGTCTTGGTGCCAGATATTACAGGACACGTTCAGAGGTCTTGTGGAGTCCATGCCTCAATGCAGCAGACCTGTTTTGGCAGCACTAGGGGGACCTACATAATATTAGGCAGGTGGTTTTAATGTTGTGGTTTATCAGTGTCTCCCCTGTGATTTTTAGGGGGGGGGGTTTGTTTTTTTTCTTCTAACCCCTAAAGTCTATCTCCCTATCTCTCAGTTCCCTCTTAATGTTTATCTACTTCTGTTGGATTGTGCAAGACTTTAAGAGATGCTGGGTTTTGATATCTCTTATATCCCAGCACCATCCAGCGCACACAGAACACAAGGAAGCACATAGACATAAAGTTAGTTGGGAAATGCTCCGAGCTTGTAGTCCCATTATAGTCGTAGTTCTCTTATTCTCCTCTGTAGCTCTTGGATGTTGGTACTGGCCAGCTGCTAGCACATGCTACAAACCTGAACGCACTAGTCAGATCCTGATGTTGGAAGTGTGCAGCTAATTTCAAACACATCCCCATTGTACTATCGCTCCACGGACCAGACATGTGGGCCTGGTGGGCCATATCCAACCTGCAGCCAGGATTGTCACCCCTATTTCATAGTAATTTAAGAAAACGTAATGATTGAGGAAGAAAAATGATGTGGAAATGCATTGTGCTCTCTGTATACAAATTAATTCTAATCCATTGTATTGGGTAACCTGCATGTGGTGTCACATTTTACAAAGGAGGCAGTAAAAATAATGAACCTCCATCCTTCTCTAGATTTACATTTGTAAATCTAGATTGTTCTGTAAATGTGCAGCCGGTGTGTAACATTGTATTGCTGTGTACTCAGCAGGACATACAGGAACACAAGAGAAATCTCATTGCATCCTTCCTGGTGAAATATGTTCTAAATAAAATAATTTGGATACATATTGCCAGGGACATATATTTTGCAACATCTAAAGTATAAACGATAATAGAACCAAATATAAGGATCTATATGTGAAAAGCCGCCACTCCAGGCACACTCCAATAAAGCCTATGAAGACAAATATAGACAAATGATGGGTACAGTATATAACCCACCAAATGAGGGCGCTAGACACTAAAGATACAGAGATATAGAGGAAGTATAAATATGAATACACAACAATAGAAGATCAAAAACTCTCCATGAAAACGTATATACAATATAACGAGGCAGTACTATTACAAGACCAGGGAACAAATGCCCGGCACCAATCACTAAACCAACCCCATCTTTTGTCTGTATTCGTCTTCATATGCTTTATTGGAGTGTGCCTAGAGAGTGGCGGCTTTTCACATATAGATCCTTATATTTGGTTCTATTATCATTTTATACTTTTTATGATTTATAAACACTCCTCGGGTACTTTCTTTTTTTCTTGTTAGTTTAGTGGTTGGTACCGGGCATTTGTCTTGTCTTGTAATAGTACTGCCTCATTATATTGTGTATATACTTTTTCATTGAGAGTTTTTGATGTCCTATTGTTGGGTATTCCTAGTATATTCCCACAATAAAGCCTTGATATATTTTTAATATATTCCATTTTGTGCATCATATTTATACTTCCTGTATATCACTGTATCGTTAGTGTCTAGCGCCCTTATTTGGTGGGTTATATACCCATCTTTTGTAACATCTGACTAGGCCTAAGAGGATGGAGAGGTGTCAGGATTTGGGTAGTTTTTTTTTTTTTTCAATCCTGTCCGCTTAATTAGAACAGGTGCAGTTGAATAAGGGCAGTGGGTGATGGTATATGGAGTGCTGTACCGATACCTGCTGAGTGTTACAGTATAGCACATCCCAGTGATGGGAGTGATTGAGGGGGGGGGGGACAGGATAAAGATAGACCGTGATAGCTGATTCACAGATCCCCTACCTCCTCACTGCTAGAGACGTAGGACTGCAGGGTGACTATAGCCTCCTCACCTCACCCCCAGTTCTGAGTCAGCCGGCACAGGTAAACTGCAAAGGGGGAGTGAGAGAGATGTCTTCATTGTGTGTATGTGACTAATCTATGTATGTATGTATGTATGTGTGTGTGATTTATGTGACTGTGGGTGGTTATGTGACTATATGTGATTGTGTGTCAATGTATGCAAGTTCAAATTAATATATCAGGTGCAGCCGGGTACATTAATGCATATTCCATAAGTAACAATCCCTATTAAATATATTGGTTTATCAAAATATTATCAGAATATTTACGGTAAGTGGACATGCAATGCTTGTTTCTTGCAAAATAACATCCAATGTTTGTCTTTGTTTTCCTTTTTTTTCTTTCCACTATTTCATTGTTTATGTTGCTGTATAAATATAGTCTAAAAAAAAATAATAAAAAAAAAAAAAAAAATTATTATTTCAAATTAATCTTAAATGGAATTTTAAATGGTTTTTCATAACATTGTCTTGACCGTAAGATAACATGAAATATCCACTTTAATTGCACTAATTACTAAATACAGAAATTGGGGCTTTCCTATTCTTTAATACATCCTATCCGTGAATTGAAAAAATGCTAAATAAATGTTCACCCTGTCTTTCAATCACAGGGGACCCTGATTCCTGTAAGCAGATTGTTAGTGCCGACATTGTACGCAATGCCGACTGGGAGCGTTCTTCCTGTACGCTGAACTTCCATGTTTTGGGTAAGTCAAGTCATGTGCCCCATCTTCGTTTTACACAGCGCCCGTCAGGGGTGTGTATTCATAATGAGGTGTTAGAGGGCATGTTCACAATTCTATTTTTAATGGTTTAAACGTTTATAGAATATTTTTCCCAGTTGACGCCTAAATGTCATGTGGTTTTGTCAGACTGTGAGCAGCGGAGTTTAGAAAACAAACTTTCAATGCTAAAATAACAAACCATCAAACAACTACATCCATATAGTAGGTGATCTCTATTTAAAGAGCTCCTGTCTCCTAATGTTGTTTTGCCAAAAAAAAAAAAATAATTTTATATGTTCATTCACTTGCTGGTAAATAATGAAAACACTCAAATTAGCTTTACTAAATTAAATTAATGGGTTTTTTTTTTTTTTTTTTTTTTTTTTTTTTTGGAGGGGGGGGATTTTTTGCCAAAGCAATATGCTGTTATTAACCCATTCACTACTGATAGCTTGCTTGCAATGTTAATATATAAAAAGATTTCCTTAACCCCTGGTCTTAATTAAAAATAAAAATAAAACAAAAAAACTAATAAAAGGGTTAATAACCCTGATTTGTTGATAGGAATGATCAGCTGCCTTTCTCCGCATCCTTTGTATTAATGTACGTACATGCAGCCACAACTATGTATTTTTTATTTTTTTTTTATTTTCTTCTTTTGGTAAAGCACAGTATGACCTCAGATACATTCGTGGTGAGGCAGTGAGTCAAAGACACATGTGTGCACATAGGCAGAAGATGGATAAGCCAGTGTTTAAAGGAAATTGTAGCGTAGGGAAATCCTTGAGTGTTGGATAATAAATGTATATTTAGTAATTCTGTGTGTAAGTACCACGAGTGGCTTGCTGGAGACTGTACGGCCTCCGATCTTTCTTGGGCTGCCTGTGTAGAATGAAATTGCAGAACACAACAACCAGGTAACAGACTCTCTGTCACCACTGTGAGCTCTAAATTGCCTCTAAAGATGTTTAAATTAATCCATTAGAACGATTAAACTCTTTCCACTTCAGGATCAGTTTAAAATGCATCTTGCATAAGCGTTTCTAATTACGGATGCTGTACAGTAGTCCAGGCAATGCTGATGCGCATTCTGCCATGGCGTTGCCCGTTCCCACTAGAGTACCATCAGTATTCCACCATTGGATTTCCCCTGCCCCCCCAGTATACCACCACTGTGGTATAACTACCAGTATGTCTTTGCTGGTTTCCCCATGCACACCCACCACTATACCATCCCAGGCTCACTACAGCATGAAGCTCTTTACAGACCGCACAGTAACTTATAACCTAGGGTAAATAATGGGTCTCTACATAGAGGGCGTAGATTTTCACAGGCTCGGGATCTAGATAAGTAATGTATTATACACCACGTGCCCTGCAGCCTATAATTATAAGGTGTTGTAGTTTATCTTGCGTGTGCCCCACTATGCAAAAAAACTTTTTTTTTTATTTGTTAAATGCCACGAAATTGCAACTTCCAACTTCCTCCTCAATATGTTTGACATACGTGTGTTGATTGGTAGAACTATAGCAGGGAGTGGGGAGGAAGAATACGTGTAATTTTTTTAAGGTGATAATTACATGATTGGGAGACAGACTTGATGTAAGACCGGTATTGAAAACAGCACTAAGCCAGCAAGCTTGAGGGATCTGACTAATGGGTCTTTTATTGACAAGCAGGAGATGCGTGGAGGTGGAATATGAGAGATGAGAATCTCAGCTTTAGAAAGATTTTTTTATTTTTTAGGAAACAGTTTAGTGATAAATAAGGGACAAATACTTATCAATCTTCGTATGTCAGGACATGGCTGAATTCTATTTAGTAGTATATCTGTTTATCGAGCATCTCTGTGAAAGTGTTTGAGGGTTTAATATCTGCGCTGTTTTGCAGCACTAGGCAATATCTGTTGCAGAACTAAACGTCATGTGATGGTATGCTAAACTCTCAGTGCATCGCTGTTACTTTAGCTACACGAAAGCAGGAGCATTGTATATATATATTTTTTTATTCTTTATTTAGGATCCGTCAGTAGAAAAGACATAATACAGTATACAGTAGTTTATCATCTAAATCAAACAATTTATGCCTCCCCACTGTCTGTTTTTCTTTATTTAAAAATATAAGGATAGTAAAGATTAACAAAGAAGGAAAGAAAAATTAGCACAAGAATGAGAGTCGCTGTGGGAGGAGAGTTATCGTCTAACCTTATTGTAAGCTATGGTTTGTAAAACCTGCCCCTACCCTTTATGGGGAAAATCTGATCTCTTTCTACGCAGGAAAATTAATAAAAAATGAAAGCGGATTCTTTCTCCTTAATAGTTATAACAACCTGAACTACAGAGTGCTTAAGAAAAATTACTTAATTTGATGAAGCTGAAGCACATTTCAAGGAGATCTGAAGGTCGGGCAGGTAGACAGTCTGAATCGGTCTGTCCTTTTTGTCCTCTGAAGCCTTTAATTATGGGTCACTTCTACACGTGAGACAGAACACTGTAGCACAGTAACTGATCTAACTATATATAACATGAATGAAAAGAGCAGGGGAAATCACACAGAATAATACACTGATAAGTACACAAATTAAAAATGGATCAAAATAACCTTGGAATGCAAAGTTCCAGAATTCTAAATAATTAATACTGTACTCACACAAAATAGCACCGTACTCCGGGGATAAAGGAAAATAGCTGACTGGCACAGTGAGTACTTAAAGGGACAGGCACTGAACTGAAATTTAAACACAAAACTCCTTGCACAAATTACCACTGGTGACGTGACCAGACACTTCCTCTCGGAGTACATTTGTAATGAACATTTGACACAAAGGCACATTATTATGTTCTTATCTAATGATTACAGAGTATCTTACTTCTAGAGCAGGGATGGTCTAAAAGTACATCTACAAATGTTACCTTGCCTGCCTTTAGGACCTAGACGTTTCTCTCCAAGCTGGGATCCTTGGAAGTAAGATTCTATAGGTGTACCGATTTTTGTGTATGAAAACAAACAGAGCAGCGTAACATTACTTGGTTTATTCTGATTTCCTAGTAAAAACAGACAACCTCCTAGGATATTACAGAGTCATTGTGAGCCGGTTTTAATATTTGATATACTTTACAATACGTCCAAATTGGCCTCCTTTTAATACCATAGAGCAGGGGTTCTCAACCCAGTCCTCAAGGACCCCCTACCAGTCCAGGATTTAGGGATTACCTGTGTGTGTCTAAGGTGTTGTTGTTTTTTTTTTTCTTAACACCTTAGATACACCCAGGTAATCCCTAAATCCTGGACTGGTAGGGGGTCCTTGAGGACTCGGTTGAGAACCCCTGCAATAGAGCCTCATACCAATATTTGTTTCAATGTTAATATCTATAATAGAAAGCAGTTACAAATCTGTTTTGTGTCCTCGAGGATCCAGTCTGTGGTATCTACACCTGGTACACTCCATCCATTTTTCCACCTTAACTCTAAGGTCTGTTCTTTCTAGGAATATGGCCTGACGGAGCTGATGGCACAGACCTTAATTCTGTGACGCGTTCGCATGACAAGAAACTTTTGGCCACTGGTGATGATTTTGGGAAAGTCCGTCTGTTCAATTACCCATGCGTGGTGCCACGGGTAAGACATGGAGAGCTTTGTGCCAAAATACGTTTCATGTATGATTCTTGCTGTAGAAAAGAAAGTAGAATATATGTTATAAATAACTTTAGGTTAGTTAGACCATTGGATTGTGAACTATAAAACTTCAAGTTTAACTTTCTGGCCTATAATGCCCCCACTCCAGGAGCCTCTGAGCACGTCTAATCTTGGATGTACTCTATATTAAAGATTCAGTCTCTATCATGATTGTTTAACCTGTGTCCTATGCCATAGCCTATTCTGGACACCATACTTCACAAAATATGACCATTGGAATGCATCTTGAGACCTAGCTAACACTGTTAAATAAGCAGGAGTGAGAACAAAATGTGATAAAATTCCACTGGCTAATGTAAACTTACTCTTAACTATAATTTTACATATCTCAAGCAGGACATTGGTAAAGATTCACCTTATATGCTGAAAGTAAGGCTTTAATTTGTAGAGTAGAACCAGTGCCGCGACGAGACCTAAAGGGAGGAAACTATCCAGTCCATGCTTGGTTTCTGGTCAATGCTCCTTTTGAATTACAGCCCATGCTTTGATTTAAAAAAATCTGCATTTAAAGTAGTGAGGGTTTGTTACCTTTTATACCCCCAACATTAGTTAGATGTAAAGCAGAAACACGTGTTTTAAATCTCAGATACACCCACGCAGCTTCTAATGATTTTGTACAGGTTTTGGAAACATGACTTGCCTTCTCTCTTATTTCAGGCTCCCAGCTTTAAATACGATGGGCACAGCAGTCACGTGACCCGTGTCTCCTTCCTGTACGATGACAGTGCTTTGCTTTCCACTGGTGGGAAAGACAGTACAATACTTCAGTGGACAGTTCTGTGACCTGCACAACTGTAGAGCACTTCGACCATCTCCCACAGACTGTCTTACTCACCCTGTCATGTTTTGTTTTCCTCTTGTGTGTTTCACCCCAGCCTGCAGAGAATATTGCACCCCTTTAGCATTGTCCAGCACCCCCACCCACCCCTCAGCCTGCTCAGCGCCTTATCTGGGTCCACGGAATGCCGTCTCCCACCTTTCCACAGAGCGCTGTAAACTGTCTCCTTGTCTTTTCAACACCCCGCTATCTCATTCTCTTGCAGATTCTGTCACACTTTGCTGTTGAACAGAGCTCTTTAGCTAAAGCTTAAAGGCTGGATGTGGCCCTCAGAGGCTTCTCGTTGAGTTTCAGTTACTTAATGCCTACTGAGGTTTCATTAGATTACTTAGATATGGTTTTAGTTTGGTTTGTCTCTGTTACAGCTCTTTTCATTGAAATGCTGGACCGTACTGCTGTAGCAATTTGCAGCAGGTGGTCTCGTACAGGGACCCATAGGCCTGTAGACTGTTTCACTCTGAATTGCATCTAAATCTCACTATCCATAGACCAGACCCTCAGCAACCCCTGTAATTCCTGCAGCCGGTATAGTTTTTCCATGGATGGTTTTTAAGGTGCTGCTATTGATAAAGCACAGCAATAAAAAGTCTAACAGTGTGAGTGTCTCATTCAATAAAGTTTTTCTTTCTGAGTTTCCCTGTGTTTACATAAAATAATAATAAAAATAATTCATTTTGAAGTTTGATTGCTGGTGCATTACCATTTCTTCACAGGAAGGTGACACCCAGATTCCTCTTTGTTCCAGAGACGTATTTAATATATATATTACATAGAAACATAGAATGTGACGGCAGATAAGAACCATTTGGCCCTTCTCGTCTGCCCAATTTTCTAAAGACTTTCATTAGTGCCTGGCCTTATCTTATAGCTAGGGTAGCCTTAGGCCTGTCCCATGCATGCTTAAACTCCTTCACTGTGTTAACCTATTTTTCTACTTGCTTATTCATATTTGCTTTTTTGGAGGGGAAAGACCTGTTGCAATAAAACACAAATTGTGTGGGGGGGGTCTTCAAAACACACATTTTGTCAGTACCCGTTAAGACACCTAGAAATGGACACTGTGTTTGGTTAATATATGGGTCGCAGGTCATGCGTAGCCAAAGGTGCCCAATTCTATATCACCCCTCCATTCCACTGTACTAAAAGATGGAGCATTTCACAGGTCACCCCATCATATATTCAGTGAGATAATCTTATGCGACACACAGTCATCCCTTGTTGAGCTTACTATGTGGTTATTGGACAATCAGAAGCTGGAACACAGTCGTTCCTGGACAGCACACCCTTACAACCACAACCTCTATGGAAACTGGACATGAGGACAGGATCCTAGGTTATCTGTGGTGGCATAAACATACTACAATATATTATTTATTCTTTTTGAGTATTTTTTTTGTCTGCTTAATCACATTTTTCTGAGATACTGGTAAAAATATTTTTGTCTTTTTCACTTTTGGTATGTTTTTTGGCACTTGGACCTAAATAGAATCATAGGATACAGGAGAGAGAGGTTGGCGCACACAATGGATCGCTTTGTAAAAATCTGTAATAAATATAACAGAACCTTCATAGGACAACATATATAAAAAGATAATCAAATATGGGTGTAACTGGAAGCACTCACAATTTTGAGAGCCAAATAAGTCGGCTCTCTGCTGTAGTAGCATGTAGATAGTTCCAATACGACATATAGCAGCAATGATGATGGTCCCCCAGGAAAAGGAAAACTTTAACTCTGCCTGGATAGAAGTTCATGAACCAAGGATAGCTCAAAATAGCTCTATTAAAATGAAAATAAACATAAAAGTACTAGCACAACGCGTTTGACCAATTCACTGGTCTTCCTCAGGTTTAATGAAACCAAATGCAAATAACAGGTTTATATACCTCACAAACAAATTGCAATTAAAAACACATGTACAAAATAAACAGTGAGCCCCTCCCAACATGTCCATACATGGTAGTTCCGTTTTTATCCTTCCTCCTCCAATATGGCGAATATGTGATATATCCATAGGGAACCGACCTCTTCATAATGGCCGCATGGACAGGACGCCAATGTCGATCACGTGACTTCCGTCATTACAACGGAACGTCACGTCCGGTTTGCGTCATTGTGTCACTTCCGGTTAGCGGCCGTTCGGGAAAAAAGGGCGGTACACCCTCACCAACGTTATTTTCAATCAAGTAAGCGTAATTAGTACGTCCTAATGAGTCCAGAGTGTTCATAATCCACCATATCGGTAATGGGGAAAGAGAGGGCAAGGAAATAAAAAGTGGATAGGATTAATGAGATATTTTAAATAACAAAGATTAAAAACAAAAAATTAAGCAGATTGCATTATAATCATAAGAAAATACAGCATACATAAAAACCTATAGGAAAAATCTTACATAGGAAAGCAGATAAAAACATGATCATATAATTGTAATTAAAACATAATATGATCAATATTAAAAATATATATAAAGAAATATATAACAAGGAACTGCAAAAATACATTAAAAAAAAAACATTGGATAAAATATATAAGTTAAAAAACATTAAAAATATTTATAAAATGGGTCCAATGTCAAAATCAATATTTAGTCCTTTTGGAAATAACGTTTGTAAATCAAAGATCCAGGAACTCTCTCTTTTACTAAGGTTTAATGCCTTATTTCCACCTCTCCAATGGGTGGAAATTCTGTCTATTGCCATGAATTCTAGATCTTTAGGATTAGAATGATGTTTTTCTAAAAAATGTTTAGAGATACTATGATTTAAAAAAAACTTTTTATAGGTTCCTTATATGCTCTCTAATGCGGATTTTAAGGGGTCTAGAAGTTTTCCCCACGTATTGAAACCCACATTTACAATTTAAAAGATAAACAACATTATTCGAATCACAAGAAATAAAACTGGGCACAATAAAGGACTTATTCGTAACAGGAGACATAAAATTCTCTCTTTTTTCTCTTATTAATGGTAGTGTTTTTGCAAGCATTGCAATTCCCACAATGAAAAAATCCTTTTTGTTTTTTAGACCAATCGTCTAGAAATGTCTGTTCCTTTTCATCTACAAAGGTGCCTATATTGCTAGAATAATTAAAAATAAAAGGAATTTGATTGGTTTTGTCTGTCTCCTTTTTTTACTTTACATCTAAGTAATTCTGATCTGTTAATATAATCATTTTTAATACGATCATCAAGCATCTCTTCTTTATAACCCTTTTGTATAAATTGTTTTTTCAGGAGGGACGATTGGTTATGGAAATCAATTTGTTCTGAGCAATTCCGCTTTAAACGTAAAAACTGTCCCTTTGGTATATTCCGTAACCACGGGTCATAATGGCTACCTTTCGTTTCTATAAAACTATTTATATCTACTTGTTTAAAAAAAGTCCTAGTTTTGATTCTATTGTCACAAGTAAAAATATTTAGATCTAAAAAGTCTATGGAATTGTGACTAACATTTTTGGTTAATTTAATGCCCCATTTATTCTGGTTAAGATAATTAAAAAATATATTAAAATTGATGGGGGCAGAGCTTGACCGCCATGCCGGGTAGTCGCATCCACCCGGAGCTCGGAGTAAGTGGCAGACTTTAAGCCCCAAATGCTGAGACACAGCCAAGCCAACCGGGCGCAACGTATACTCACCCCACGGTGTTCTCGGCAGGAGCAGGGATGGAGCATAGTGGACTCTACAGACGCACTCTGAGTGGCAGGTCCGACCTGCGGCCTAGCAGTTGATGGGGAGTGGAGGGGCACAGGCGAGAGGAAGCTAAGAGGCACGACTCACTTAAGATGGCGGCTGCAAACCAGGCTGACCCCACACACTGCTGCAGCACACTGCCAACGCGCCTGGATCAGCTATGTACAGCTTTCAGGTGGCGAACACCTCAGAGGATGGCGCAGGGCGCCAGAATGGAGACTCTACTTTAACTGCCCCTGGGACTACTCTTATCCTGTAGCATAACCCAGCAGGTTTAGCCGATAAAATAAGCGATGTGCTTTACTCTGTGATATTTTATGTTATTTTATTGTGTGTTGCAGCTTCAAATAAGCATGTACCTCTCGGTGCTATTGTTTTCCACTGAGCTCCCAGGTCAGTACTGGGCATTTCTTCCCAATTGGGGATGTGTGTGGAGTAAAATCTAATTTTATTGCTGTGGTCTTATAAAAATCTTGCTCTTTAACTATATATGTGCTTAACTACCTAGAATGCTATACTCTATAATCTTTGACCCATCATCTCAGGTTTAGGCCTGTAGTCCGTAACCTTTTCACTTAAACAATGTTTAGCTTAAATATGCTCATTTATGATACTGTACTGTCAGGATATTGCCAGATCTGCTAAGCTAAAACTAAACACTACTGGTATCACCATCGTTATGTTTAAACATGATCATCATCTTCTTAACTAACTAAAAAATGTGCAAGTAATTCTGAATACCCCATTGTTATAATTGCTGAAAATCAGGTGAGGAATGTCGTTGGGGTACCTCGCGCATGTTGTTACATTTCTTTGCACTGCAAAAATAAATTTAAAAAAAATATATATATATATTAAAATCATTTTCTGTTCCTTTCCATATTTAAAAATATCATCAATGTATCTTTTATAGAGGACCAAGTTTGCCCCATATTCATGTCCTTGATATATAAAAGTCCTTTCCCAGTATGACATGAACAGATTAGCATAACTTGGGGCAAACTTGGTCCCCATAGCTGTTCCACAAGTCTGGAGATAAAAATCGTTATCAAACCAGAAATAATTATTAGTTAAAATCATTAAAATACATCCCCACTACTACCCCTGGTGTACAACCCGGACTTTGAACCGGGGGTAAGACCAGAAAACCTCCGCTGTGTCCTCCCACAAAACATACCAATATGCCAATGGGAAAATCTTGCCCCTACAGACGCTCACGGGCACACCCACCCACCCACCCCTTCATGACGACATTTAGGTACACCCAAATTAAGAACTACATCACCGCCATACCACAACACCCCAACGTCTATAGGGATCTCACGCAATTCGAACAGTTGTGCCAGGACCCGGAGCCCATGCCCCATAGCATTTCCCACCTCTACTCTATGCTACAACGACAACAGGGACAACCCCCACCCCCCTTCATGTCCAAATGGGAGACCGCCGTAGTAGAAACACTTACCGAGACCCAGTGGCACAAGATCTGCGACCTAGTGCACCACTGCGCAATTGCTAGCAAATCGCAGGAAACGGCCTACAAGGTCCTCACACAATGGTACTTGACACCAGAACGTTTACAGAGAATGCACTTAGACACGGACGGCCTCTGCTGGAGGTGCAAGAGAGGGGTGGGATCCTTCCTCCACATATGGTGGGAATGCCCACTTATAGTACCGTTCTGGGAGAAAATAGCTGCCATGGTGGCCCTGTTCACGGACAATGTACCACCCTTCCAGCCCGCCCCGTACCTCCTACACCACACGACAACCCCCACACCACGCTACAAACGCTCCATGACTATCTGCATTCTTAATGTCGCAAAACACCTAATACCTTTGTACTGGAAAAAAGACACAGCCCCAACGCTTTCCCTGTGGTTTACTAGAATGGAGGAGTTACGAGTAACAGAGGAAATCTGGTACTCAGCCCAAGACCAAATGCAGACATACCTAGACACATGGACACCCTGGCTGGCACAGGTGGGAACGGAGGCATTTCGAACTGTGCATTTGACCATGGGGGGGAGGAACAGATGACCCCAGGAGGAGACACCAGGAGCCTAACGGGACGACCCACACCTGGCCCAAGACGCAGTACCTCACCCTACCCCACCCACTGTCAGGTCCGGGAGGAGCACGGGCTCGGGGGCGCCGACCCCTCAGGGGTGTGCTGGGGGGGTATGATACCTGTCGGGGTGCGGCCACCTGCAGTGCCCAAAACGGCCTACGGCCCCGTGGGTACGGGGGGTGGAAGAGCGCCAGTTCCGTGAGTTACAAACTTTATTAGTTTAGAAGGAAACGCAGGCTGCCCCTTAGGTTATTCCCATCAACACCATGTATAACGCTGGGCAGAGCCGAATTGTACCAGAGTAGGGGGTCAACACCCCACTATACCACCATCCTGGACCCTAGACACGGGGTCGCAAGGAGGCTGCGTGCCCTGATGGGACCCTACACAGTAGGTGCCCCACATGTCCTATGGCTGCATGGTGGCTATAGGGTGGGCACGGTGGACTAGACGAAAATTGGCGGGACATACAAAACTATCCAATGTAGATAAGGTACACGTCAGATATAACAAAGTACTATACATAACTATGCACACACCACTTACTCAAGAAAGCGACCTGCGAGTCGCCAAGACACGTCTGACAGACTATGCCCTACGATGTATAAATATGTACAAATGACCAAAGGGACCTGCGTGTCCATGTTTTTCTGTTCCATGTTGATAACAAATGGAAAAAAAATAACGAAATGTTCAATAAAAACATATTTACAAAAAAAAATCATTAAAATACCTTTACTTAAAAATTCTATTTGTGCTGCTGTAAGTTCCCCAGATTGTTTTAAATAGAACTCTGCAGCCTCAAGTCCTTGCCGGTGTTTAATAATAGTATACAGACCAGTCACATCACATGTAATTAAAAGATACCCTTCTTCCCATACAAAATCATTTAAAATATTTAAAAGGGTCATTGAGTCTTTCAATTAAGCTGGGCAGGATTTAACGAGTGGTTGAAGGAAAAAGTCTATATACTGTGATAACTGTGTTAAAATAGAATCAATTCCTGAGACAAAAGGCCTACCCGGTGGGTTCATTAAACTCTTCTGAATTTTGGGTAAGATGTAAATCACAGGTATTTTTGGGTGTTCTACTTTAAGAAAGGCATATTCATGTTTATTCAAAACATCATTATCCACTCCTTCCTTCAACAAATCTTCATATTAACTTTTTATTTCCATGATAGGGTTTTTATTTAATTTCATATATGAACTTTCTTCGCCTTCTCACTTCATTCAGATAATCATCTCTATCTAAGAT